TGGGGCGGGTTTTCTCCGAGTACTTCGGTTTCCCCTGACAATCTTCATTCCACCAAATTCTCCATCATCATAATCACCCGGGGCAGGTACAATAGGCCAATCAGTGGCCGTCATGTCGATTGGACCCAGCTGGACTCCACCCCCCACTAGCGAATTAAAAAGAAAGGAAACCATGGTACCACCTTCCAAAGTATTTCCCACATCTTCACATCTGCCTCTGTTCGGGCCTATATCTAAAGCATTGAAATGTATGACAATTAAGTAATAAAATTAATAATGGTTTTTAATGGAAGCCATGTGGGATTATTGAGCGAACTATAGAACTTTCTTTTATAATTGCTCAGACACCTTTGAAGGTAGTCTAAAACAGGAGACATATTCGGCAAAATACCGTATTTACGCATGTATAGGCCGCACATTTTTTGCCAAAAATTCAAGAGGAAAACTGGGGTGTGGCTTATATTCGAAATCACACTTCATTTTAAAAATAATATATTCATAATTAGTAATACACGGTGTTCTATTCCTGAAATAATATTCCAAGAAAATTATTTTTTCTATAATTTCTGTCTGAAAATTGTGCTGCGGCCTATACATGCGTAAATACGGTATATTGATTCATTCATTAAAGGACGTATTGCGTTATGGCTTGTTTCTGAATCCAATGCGGTAAACAAATATTTCTTTACGTCTTCTACACTCCTACTCATTCGCCAGCTGAGCCACTGTCGGCTTGTCAATAAGAACTGTTATCCACATAGTGGCTATACGGTGATAAGATGCCGCTGACAAGATTCAAAATAAAATTCTGCCTAAATTAGTGCGCAGAACTCCCTGTCAAGTTTATCACTATGCGGTATGTGTTGTGGGAAAATAAAAATTCGAGTGAACGGACCATATGTTCCCTCTATGCACTGAATGTAAACACATACAAGACACAAAGGCAAGACCAGCAGATTTTTGTCAACATAATTCTATTATTTGTACGAAAGCCGTCTTCTGGGATGTGACCCCGTACAGCTCGTAGATATTTCTCGAGATACCTGAGGAATGTGCGAGCAAAGTCAGTTTACACTCATATTCATGTGGAATGATCCTGAGGGTAGAGAAGTAAGTCGAGCTGTGCAGGGGGGGGTTCCTGAGAGAACCAATATAAGTAAGGGGGACGGGGAAAGAATCTGGGGACAATTAAAGGGTCGTATCGCAAAAGCAGAGAGAGGGGCGACATGATGGTTAGAGGGATGGAGGGTGAGGGGCCTTCTAGGACCTGATGCCGCGTTCTGATAGAGGAAATATCTGCTACCTCCATGTTCAAGGTAGAAGCGTAAGCCAAGAGTGGAAAAATCCGTACCACTTTTTCCAGGCTACGCTCATTCTTCTACTGAGGACCTTCATAACCTGTACTCTTCACCAAATATAATAATAATAATGATCAACTTAAGGGGCGTGAGATGGGCAGGGCATGTAGTAAGAATGGGGGAGACGAGGAATGCGTATAGGATATTGGTGGGAAAGCCAGAAGAAAGGAGACCACTGGGAAGACCAAGACGTAGTTGGTGGACAGTATCATTCTCTTAGTGTGGGGTGGAGTCCAACTGGGTCCACTCGTCACGGCGGCCACTGATTGCCCTATTGTAGCCTGCCCCGGGTCATTATGATAATAGATGTTTTGGTGGAATGAAGATTGGCAGGGGAAACCGACGTACTTGGAGAAAACCCGCCCCAGCGCCACTTTCTCCACCACAAATCCCACTTGACCAGACCCGGAATCGAACATGGGCCGCCGCGGTGGGAAACCAGCGACTAACCACTTGAGCTATGGCGCGGCCTTCTTGGACAGTATTAAAATGGATCTTAGAGAAATAGGATGGGATGGTATGGATTTGATTGATCTGGCTTAGGATAGGGACCAGAGGAGGGCTCTTGTGAACACGGAAATGAACCTTCAATAAAATGGGAAGTTTTTGAGTAGCTTCTCAAGAAGGACTCAGCTCCATGGAGTTAACTAGTTAGTTGAGCTTGTTCTTCTACCCTGAAAATAGAAGCAGTAGACTCATCTGATGCGTTGCCAAATATGTACCAGACTTCATGGTATCCCATTCAGAAACTCGAACATCACAGATTTCCAATAACTGTATCTTGAGAATTCGTCAACTTAAAGGATCAACAAATCTCAGAACATGAACTCATGTTCCTCACATTTCGGACGTAAAAGAAAAAGAGAATTTTGCGGGCAGAAGTCGAGGAAGAAGACATAAGAAGATGCTGGATGACCTTGGGGACAGAAGAGGATATTTTCACTTGAAGGAGAAAGCTCTAGATCTCATCAAATGGAGGAACTGTTTTGGAAGAGACTGTGGACCTGTCGTATGACAGATTACTGATGAAATGAATGAATCTTTTAAACTAGTAACTAATAACAATTACGTAAGAAATTGACAGACGTTGGAAGTAGTCGGCGGGTAAATGTACAACGAAACACCGGATAATTATAAAAGGAAGATATATTTGGGTAAGAACAACATAAATTTCCGCTGATTCAGACATGTGTGGAAAACCATAAGTAGAAAATTCAAGTAATTAAATATTTAAAATTTTCAAATTATTTCAGAAAAAACAGAGGAGGAAATACGAACATTTCGTCGAAAGAAAACAGAAAATTTTGTTCTTTCCATTGGAGAATAAGCGTTTTAAGAACTATTTGTCCTTACATAGTACTTCAATAAAAACTGATAAAAAATTTCTCATATTTTTTCAAAAGAAAAGCACAGGGCCCATATCCAAGAACAATGTAATCCAAAACAATTTTGACACGGGAGGACCTCGGTATGAAGCCGGAAGACGCTGGGAGTGAAGGCTGGGACAGGATGTTTACAGTTATCTAACCAATAACTTGCGGACTTCGTAACTTTCCTATCGCTAACACCTCCCTCTTTGAATACCGAAGTAAGAAAAGCAAAAGAATAATAAGAAAGAGAAAATTAATATTATTTCGTAAGAGATCAAAATCTCTTACACGCTTGTCGTATTAAAGTATGCAAATCGCAGGTCAAACGAGCAGCACACATATGCGGGCACGTAGATTCTTGAAACGCTCGGAAATATGCCGATAAATTAACACTTCAGGAACTGATACTCCATACTGTCAAAAGGTCATTCCAATCATCACTACTCTTCTTCTCCCCCGCTTCTCCAATGAGAAAGGACTTTCACTTTCATTGTACTGGAAGGTTGAAGAGAGAGAACACATGAGTCGACAATCCTCTTTTCTCTTTGGTCGTCCTGACAACAGACCGCTGACTTCTGTGTTACATAAAGCGGCACGACGTCTTCCTTCTGTTTTCTTCGTGCCTCTTCTATTTTAAATGGCCATATTATCGCACAAATGAAGAGAGATTAGATTGATGGTCTGTCTACATGCATGTACTTTCTCCTCTTAAAATCTAGAACTTCTAACGTAACTGTTATGAAATATATTACACAACCAGTTTAAATATGTGCTTATTGAAAGGAGATTAAAATTTCCTAAGAGAAATGTTTTAACAAGATGGCTTCTAAACAGCGTTTTACTTTAAAGAGGTCGTTTAATAAGATGAAAACTGATAATGTAATTCATTCGTTATTCAAGCTGAGGGTGATAAGTTAAATATTTTTGTTCAGGGCTCGGATGGAACTATTTAGAAACGAGAGCAAGTAGGACATTCTGTGGGGAAAATTTCTGAACTTCAAGAAGTTGTGCTAAACACCTGTCAGTTATTCGCTCTTGCAGACTTGGTTTGCAGAGAGACCACAAGCATGAAAATAATATTTGGACAGACTATAAAATATGATAGCTATTTTCAAGGAGAAACGACAAGTATTACCCCGAAAGCGGAGTGGATATCACTCGACATTTCATACGACATTTTAGATATAACAAATGAATATGTATCTTAGGGGCACCAAAATCTGCATATATCAAGTTCGGGGCACGCGGTAGCATGCTGGTTTATGCATTATGCTACAAGCCGGAAGATCACGGGTTCGAGTCCCGATAGTTTTTTTTTTCAATTGACCTACTCCTTCCAGCCTCATTATGGACCTGGGTTCGACACAACCTCCAACATAAATGAGTACCAGGAATTTTCTTGGGGGGTAAAAGGTGGCCGACGCGTAAGGCTGTCAACCTTACCGCCATCTGTGAGCCGACTATCTAGAAAATATGGAATCCTCGACGTCTCATAGCTCTATGGGCCTTCAAGGCCTCTTACAGTGATAGTTTTACCTTTTTTATATGAAGTTCAGCAAGACACTACATTTCTGTAAGTAATTCAATATAACTTGATATTCACCAACACAAAAACTTGAACTGTCCACAATGAGAATCGCATTATTCTGACCTATATCTAAATATTCTTGAACGCTTGCTAGAGAGGAGTTTCTATTTAATTGCAGACTCAGTCTTACGCCAACCACCCTCGGGGAAATTTAACCTTAAATTTGATAATCGACAGAAAATGAAAACATAAGAAAAATTAATATCTAATTCAACACATCTTGGAATTATGACTTATAAAAAAAGCCTTTTACATTTTTATAATTGAAAAGATTAAATGTCGTCTTCTGAGACACAGAATATTATATATCTGCGATATATCATGATTATATACGTTACATAACATACTCTTCAAGAAATTCCGTATGTATTTGCATAATACGTATACTTCCAATTCTACTTATGTAGTGGTGTGACGGCATCAATTATACAATGAAGCACGCAACCGGAAGTTTAAAAAAAAATAATTTTTGTTGACTGAAATAAACATTATTTTTTTATAACAAAACATACTTAACAGCAAGCTACATTTGAAAACAGATTTAATTCGTATATACGAGTATAATCTCAATGCCATGTGTGAGAAACTAAACATGAGTGGAACAATATACCCCAATATGAAATAGAAACAGTTTCCAAATACAAAATTTATGCGTTATTTATAATTATATCCTTTATTTTTTAGTTTCCGCTAGAAGATGATACGTCAAGGTCTATTCGCCATATTTCTTATAGGTAAGTTTCTTTTCAATTTCTTGGACAGAATATATTATTGAGAAAAGACACACGCATATTATAACTGTATTTACACGGCACATGTCGATGTTCGCTTAACTACACGCTTTATGTAGAATTGAATACGATATATAGATAAGTGGCTCTCAGCACATGGCAAGTTGTGTTATATCTTAGCACCCTGTTGCAGCTGATATCAGAATTTCTTTTCAGTTGCTAACCGTCTTCCATGCAACAATAACAAGATTAAAATTAAATCCTCTTTTGAAAATTCGTCACCTCACTACATGTTTCGGCCTACTCGGCCATCATCAGATGAAGCACTACACTACATGTTTCGGCCTACCCGGTCATCATCAGATGATGCACTGCACTACATGTTTCGGCCTACTCGGCCATCATCAGATGAGGCACTGCACTACATGTTTATGATGTACTGCGCTACATGTTTCGGCCTACTCGACCATCATCAGATGATGCACTGCGCTACATGTTTCGGCCTACTCGGCCATCATCAGATGATGCACTGCACTTCATGCTTCGGCCTACCCGGCCGAGTAGGCTGAAACATGTGGTGCACTGACGAATAAGGATTTAATTTTAATCTTGATATTGCTGCATGGTGGACGGTAAAGAACTGAAAATAAATTCCTTATGTCAATTATTTAAAAATAATGATTTTGAGACGATTATTTCTTATAAATATTAGGAGTCCATGATTTATTTTATCCGTCTTCTAGTGCATACATTAATCCATTCCCTCTTCTCACTCTCACTACATGTTTCGGCACAAATGTGCCATCTTCAGGTGCTGATCCATTCCACGACAAACTAGTTCATTGCATGCCTTGTCTATACATACTAAAATAACTAAAATATATATTTATCATATATACTGATAAATGTTAAGTGTTAAAATATTAAAATTGTACAGCATATTACATTCTTACGTCGTGTTTCATTACGCGAGTCACGTCTATCATCGTCTGTTGGAGCACTCTTTCACTATCGTGTATTATGCTCTATGTTGCGTCTCGCTCCTGTGACTGCGTGTGTGTTATACTCTATAACATTATTAGGAGTCTTTGTACCTCCATTAGCTTCCCCATACTGTAAAGTACTGCAGTGGAAACGTTCATTAGTAACTGTGTTACAATGAAACGATTCAGTAAATCTTGTTCTTGCCACTTTCGGTGACTGCGAGTCAGGTTACTGCCACATCTGCTGCACATACTCGCTGTTCTCTAAACTATTTGTGCAACCAATTCTTGTGGAATGAAACAGTGGTAATGCACATCGGATAGAATAAATCTATCCTATTAATTTGATTCTAAACTAGACTAGATATACGTTCAATATATTTAACAGCCCTTCGTAATGGAATCGTCTATGTAGGACTGCTAAAAACTATGGAATAACATATAAAGTGTCGTGCCACGAAACTAGGTTAAATTTACTCTGTAACCATTATATCGCCACGAGTTTTTCAAGTTATATTTGTGAATAAACCTAACAGTAGGAATAGTTACGTAAGTTTTAATAGCGGATACTCAATGCATCACATTTAACCCGATTTTATTTTTCTTTCAGCACTGGCCTATGTGTACTCCAAGCCTACAGTGTTACACAGGGTAAGGATTCTTTCTTCTTCTTCTTCTTCTTCTTCTTCTTCTTCCTCCGCCTCCTCCTTTCCTTACTGGTACTACAAACCTGTGTGGGTGTTTGTCTCCTCCATGGTCCCCTTATGCCCTTTAGTGAGAGTTCAGCTCTTACTCCCTTCGTAGTATCATTTTTAGGGGGGGGTCGGCAACAACACCCCCAGCCACCAACCCAAAGGACCAGGGTCGACAATTTGTCTGGCCCTACAATTTGACCTCTCTGGGATGGATGGCTCTACCAGGAGCTTACGCTCCCGCCAGCACAGCTCTGCGGGTCGTTGGGGCAAGCAATCCTCCTCTGCACGATAAGGCGGCAGTCCTCGGGGAGGAAGGTCGTTTGCAAGTTGGAAATAAAAGCTTAAATATGTATAATCTCTGTGTATGAACGTGTTTATGTACTTATCCCGGATTATGTAGTGTTGGAACTGTAAGATGGTTAGTGAGGAAGAAGAAATAAGCGACCGTGAGGTGCAGTTTGATGCACTATTCTGACATCTGCATGAAGGCACAGAAGAAATAACGAGAGACGTAGTAGGATAGCCTGTACCCGGGTCGGGATTTGAAGCAGGACCTCCCGAATGTGAAACAGGTGTTCTATCCACACGACTCAATATTCGGTTAACAGATTGTGAAACTATTATAGTTTCTATAGAGCATTCTTAAACGGATATGAAAGAATCCAGAAGCAAGCTCATGCTGCCATACCAAGTTAGAATATCCGCATATCTGAATCAAGCTTCTATAGCAGTACCAGTGAGCCAGTGTTCAGGTCCGGGGTGAAGGCTTCGTCCGGCTTAACTTTCTTAACTTAACGCGACCAGTCAGTATTTGATTACTAGTTCTACTACCACTTGGCAAAGACAGAACATGAGTAATCATATATATATACACACACATAACGTCGTAAAGATGACACTGGACCTTCCAGTACGACCGAGAAACAAAGCCAATGCATCAATTCGCAGTCTCCGAAACCAAAATAAAGAGCAAACATCGAAACCATGCCGATAGCTTCTTATTTATGTCATATGAATTATCCATCAAGAATGTTTTGTTTCAGTAAATATCACATTTTTGGCTGGACAAGTGCCTTTGCAATCACGAAACTCAGTCGTTCCATCCGCAATAGTGATGTAATTTTTTTGACCTACAGATGAATACTAGTGTTAAAAATATAACGATCACGGTCACCTGATTTCGAATTCTTCGCGTTCGTGAAAATAAAAACCTCTGAGAGGCGTCACTTCGAATCACCTCAATATATTGAGGCAATGTGACGACAGTACTGTAGAGATTTTAGGAGAATATTTTCCTACAGTATTTATAGGCATGATGAAAAAATGGACGATTAACGTTAGAAGACGAGCTGTTTGAAGCTAATCACAGTCACTATGGATAACTATGAAAAGGAACCCCCCTCATCAAGGAGAAATGAAAATGAACTCTTTGTGTTTACTTACTTATTTATGGAGCTGGGCCCCGCTTGAGAAGCCAAATCTGCAGCTACTCAAGAAGTTCCCAGTATTTTATGGAACCCGAAGATTCAATACCGTGTTCACAAGAGTCCTCCACTGGTCCATATCCTGAACCAGATCAATCCAATCCATACCATCCCATCCTATCTCTCCAAGATCCATTTTAATATTGGCCACACACCTATGCCTTGATCTTCCCAGTGGTCTCTTTCCTTCTGGCTTTCCCACCAATATCCTATATGCATTCCTTTTCTCCCCCCATTCGTGCTACATGCCCTGCCCACCTCATCCTCCTTCACTTGATCATTCTAATTATACTTGGAGAAGAGTACAAGTTATGAAGCTTGTCTTTACCAAGAAGAATGTTACCTAAACTGAAGGAAATGCGAAAAGATTTGCGTACATCAGCAGAACTTATTTACACGTACAAATACTCGTATGTAATGTTTTGGTAACAATTACGGTTTTAAGAAGTAAGTAAGTAAGGCGAAGGTGTCCCACTACATCACGAAGTGTTAATGTATAGTTCCATGCATTCATCGTCAGATCGAAATGAGTCGTGAGTTTCACGCTCAGGCCGCTTAACCCTCAGGTACAGCGCCTTTAGTACGAACTAGATAAGAAGCCGGGTAGGCACCTGAGTCAATATAGACATTGCGGAGAAAAGAAACATCAATGCCCCTGTCAGGGAATCGAGCCCCGTATCAAAGGCTGTTTCCCCCGCATGTTCTACCGTTAAGCGAGGTTTACTTCTTCACGTGTGTCCGTGCTTCCAGGCCAAGAGGTGGGAGGAGTTTCCGAACCTAACCTTCACGTTCGACTGCTCCGATCGCGCTGTGGGTTTCTACGCCGACACGGAGCACCACTGCCAGATCTTTCACATGTGTGACGAGGACGGCCGCCGGATCCCTTACATCTGCGCCAACGAGACCAGCTTCAACCAAGAATTCCGCGTTTGCGACTGGGAGTATAATTTCGACTGCAACCAGGCACCGCAGTGGTCAGTAATTCGGACGGGCCCTTCTGTCCGATACTCGAACCCATACCCATAACGAACACTGTAACAATACGGTAGTGGAACAGGAAATGTTAAGGCCGCCATTAGAATCGATACTGAATTCCGTCCGTCTCCCATCCAATCCCATCTGAACGCTGTCCTCTCATCTCCTTTTCCGCCACCCCAACAGGAAGTTCCGAAAAAGATTTCGCGTGCAATGCCGGTGGTCTGAAAGCCAAAAGCTAGCAATATGTTCGTGACATCAACAGTATAACATAGGAGGAAACAGGGAACGAAACAGATTTCATTGTCATAATATTCTATTCCAAAATCAGCGCCATTGAAAGCTACATATAATCCATAGTTAACTAAGTTATATGATATAAAAGACAACCAACATTTTAGATTGATTCTTTTAACTCTATTTTAATTCTAATTCCAGGCAGTTTCTGTTTTTCATAACGTCGCATTTCGGGATAAAACAGTGTCTCACTCTTATTTTCACAATTTTTCTTAGTTTTCTTATAATTTCGATCAACCATAAGGAGAGAATATGATACTTGGTTAGTTAATAAAACTTAATATCATTTAAATAAAATTATTATTTCAAATTTTGTCATAAGTGTTATGTTCTCATGTCTTATATACAAAAATATTGTGGGGGCAACAAATAATTGGTCGCGTTACAAATATTATGTGTCGCATTGGTGATTAGAGTCCCCAATCTGGTGATAATATCGGTTGTTTCGTACACGTTAACCTCCGCATTTTCGCATTATAGTAAACGGGCATACTGACGTTATGGAATTAAAATTACGTTACTTTTAATTACGTTAATTGAATTAATATCGGTCAACCGGCCGAAATCTATTAACTGGAGACACACGTACATATATCAAAACATACCTACAAGACAAATATAGGGATATATGTAGGGCCGCGCCATAGCTCAAGCGATTAGTCGCTGGTTTCCCACCGCAGCGGCCCAAGTTCGATCCCGGGTCTGGCCAAGTGGGATTAGTGGTGGACAAAGTGGCGCTGGGGCAGGTTTTCTCCGAGTACTTCGGTTTCTCCTGCCAATCTGCATTCCACCAATTGCTCCACAATCACCCTCACCTATCATCTGGGGCTGGTACAATAGGCCAGAAGTGGCTGCAGTATAAGGGACTTAGTCCCACACCACTAGCAATAAAAATTAGGGTTATATGTAAAAAAATTCTCTAAAATATCTCATAATATAAGGGAAGCTGCCTCAATAGTGTGTAAGGTTTAGCTTTAAGTGAGTATATTCTGGATAGACCGGATAACACCAGATTTTTTTCCTTCATGGGGTGAGACTGGATCCACTTGGTACTGCGACCACTGTTTGGCCTACTGTACCAGCTCCGGATGATAGATGATGGTGATGATTGTGGAGCAATCGGTGGAATGCGAATTGGCAGGGGAAACCGAAGTACTTGGAGAAAATCTGCCCCAGTGCCACTTTGTCCACCACAAATCCCACATGGCCTAACCCGGGCTCGATCCCGGAACACCGCTGTGCGAAGCAGACGACTAACAGCCTGAGTTATGGCACGGCCGTAGCACCACAACCTCACGTATTAGGCCTAGCCATTCAACAATCTTTAGTTAATTAATACGACGGTACATATACTATTATTTCGCGGTAAACTGCTTAGTATATTAACTTATTTCCTGCAAGAAGGAGTTAATTTCTAGCCTCCAGCCTCTCTGCAGACAACGACGTGTTGTGTTACAGGTACTATCTGAACGAGCTTACCTACGTCACTGATCCACCCAAGCCTCGGGTTCCGAACCCAGAAAGCAGAGCGGCAGCAGAGGCAGCGTTCCAGCAGTAAATCAGCGAGTACGACTAAATATTGAAATGTCATTCAAATTCCTTCCAAAGACTGCAACTTGAATGAAACAAGGCTGTAAGTACAACTCACAAGAAGAAATGCAACGTCTGAGGAAGAGATCGCCATTTTCAGCAAATGTCATCAAGATGGCGGGATACAACTTCGCTTTTGTTCTTCATCATTGTTCCTATATGTAATAAATACTACTACTCATATAGACTTGAAAGGATTCTGACGGTGGTGTATACTGTACTTCTTTTGGCTTATTTGGATTTCACCCATCGTCTGGTAAGTAAAAGACAAAAGACCACGACATTTCGGAGACTGCATCTGTCTCCGTCTTCAGGTGGATAGGGAAGGGTAAACCTACTCAGTTGGGCCCGTTAGAAAGAGCTAGTCTCAATCACTGGTCCACCTATCCAACTGAAGACGGAGACAGATTCAGTCTCCGAAACGTCGCGGTCTTTTGTCTTTTACGTACCAGACGATGGGTGAAGTCCAAAATAAGCCAAAAGAAGTACACTACTACTCATCTTTAAACACAGACATTCATTCCTTAAAGTCTGAAAGTGTGGTTGTAATATAAAACATGTCTACACGAAACACATATACGTAAAAGTCACTACTTTTGTCACAAAGAGCTTGCAAAGTAAACTGGAATATTATTTCATCACCACGTGTAAAAAGCGGAAACATTTGTACTATGTATAACTGTTAACTGAACTGAACTGTTGCAGTAATGTGCCAATGTACAATAATTTGTATAGAAAATTAAATTTAATTTGTATAGGCAAGTAAAACTGAGATATGCTTACACGTTTCTTCTATATAGCATTTGCATGATCTGTCAAATGTACTTGTAGATTTACATTAAAGATAATTTGTTATTTCCAGAAACAAATATAAAGACCTCTGAAAACGAAGTACTTTAGTTGCGCCCACGATAATTTCCTAAAATGGAAGGGAAGAAAAGAGAGAAACAAACGTGTCTAGAAAAGCGAAAATAAGGAAAACAGATATTGTTGAGAGCAAAGTGTTGCTTTGTCATCGAGAATTATTTGAAGGGGCTGCAGAACTACATGCCCCCATCAGTGAAGTGTTACTCAAGCTATGACTTTGCGGTTCCCGCTAATTAACGCCGGTTTCTTTCCTTCGACTTGAATACACGACATAGGGTTAAGCTGCAATTATTTCTCCTGGCGCAACGCACACGCGACCTGATAGCTGCTAGCAACAGAGGCCGAGCGTCATAAAATGAGAGCTTAATCGGGAAATCGTGGACCGTTCGTCTTTGTCTCCAATCTTCCAAATCACTCAAATGGGTGGGGGGTGTATGTTAAAAGTCGTCTTACTTTGATTTTAGTCTGTGTCGGGCCAAAATCCCTCACTTTACGTGAAACTGAAACCCAGTTCGAAAGTGTTCCATGATGTGCAACGAGTGCGTCAGCGTAACACCTAATAAAATACAATGGGAACTAATAAGGATCCAGGATAATTCAGTTGATATAGCAATAGGATACGAGCTGCACGGCTGGGGTTCGATTCCAGTCAAGAGATAGATACTTCTCTCTACTCCACGACGTCCAGACTGGCTCTGGATCCTCATATTCAATGGGTTACGCGAAACCTTTCCCTCGGGTTTGAGCAGTTGGGGCGTGAAGCTGACCACAAACCTCCATCTAGTACCGAAGTCAAGAATGGTGGATCTATACGTCTACTCCTCTACATATTTTCATGGCACAGTGCTTACTTAATTAAGCACGGGGAATCGCACGTGGCTTTGTACTTGACTTTTTGGAAGGACGTAAATGGGTTGAAGTCACAATCAGTAATGACTTAGGCTACAGAAAGGAACTACTCAGAATTACTGAGCTTTTGGACTCTGCCCATCGTCCTGTATTCCAGAAACAAGAAAACACAAAGTTTCGGAAAATGGATCTGTTTCCGTCCTCAGGTGAGGGGGCAGACACCTAATCTGTTGGGTCCCTGAGGAACAGGTAACCTCAATAAAGGTCCCATATTTTCCCTCCCTGGATCGGAAAGCTTGGTGACTCTCAGACTGCCATCACTGGCGTCATCCGGATATTCTGTGTTCACTAGCCTATATACGACCAGTTCTGGAGTCAAAGGGCATATTACTTAATTTTTATTAAAGCAAATTAAAGCAAGTACAAGGAACTACGGCAGAGCAGGTGGCACGTATGGCGGAGAAAAAGAATGCATATAGAATTCTGTTGGGAAAACCAGAAAGAAAGAGACCATTAGAAAGACCTAGACGAAGGTAGAAGGATAATATTAAAATGGATCTTACAGGAATAGAATGGGGCGGTATGGACTAATCTGGCTCAGAATAGGGACCAATGGCGGGTTCTTGTCAAAATGGAAAGGAACCTTCGAGTTCTATAAAATTTTGCGGAATTCTTGAGTAGCTGATCTATTGGCGGCTTCTGAAGAAGGGCTCAACTCCATAGAATTTGTTAGGTAGAAGGAACCACTGCATACTTTATCAGAATCTTTTCATGACAGTCAGTCCCTAGAAGTAATGATACTAACACAACTACCCAAACAAGAAACCATTCCCCAACTTGAAGGTTAGCTAGTTAAAGAAGGCTCGCTTCTTTTTTCAATAGCAGATTAAAATCCCAATGAAGCAACGCAAATAATGCGTGAGAAAAATATAGTTGTACCGGATGTCGTGTTATTTTCGGCAGCATGTGATTATAACGTACCAGCTTGTCACTTGTGACCCACCATCTCTTAACTTATATCCGATATAGCCAATACACAAGTCGTGACACATGGCTGTTCCAGATAAATGCAGTTTCTACGACTTTCACTTCTTCCTTCACAAATCTAAATTGGCTATAAAGCTAAAGCCTCTGCGGAAAAGGAGGAAATATGTATTATCTATGCTGTGAAATGACATCTGAAAAAGTGGAGTCAGAAGAGATTGCCGTTGCTAGGGAGTGACCAATGAACACGTTTCCGCAGCAATGAACACGTGACATAACAATGCAGAACTGTTGGAAACGGTGTTTTCTGCTGGGTCTGCCCCGACGCTATATAAGGAGAACTAACTTGAGCTTTTGGTGTGGCATAAGATAACTAAGATGGATACAATCCGCTTTGCAAAGCCTGGACTGACAGAGGACTTAATTTTCAGTAACATGCTATATGTGCGATACGTACACTTGACGAAAGACCAAGCATATTCATACAAGACAAACCCATCCTCTCGTCAGAGAGGAGGTTACGTAAGGATTGTGACCGGAAAGGTTCAGTTACAAAAAAAAAAAATTATGATCGTGAGCTTCAAGGAGCGAGAAATATATCCGAATACTGCAATGAATGGAACCTCGATTCCACGGTCGTCCAGGCTGTAACCTAGTAGCTACAGTGATTGATTTATAGCATCATCAGCATCGTGAAAGTTCCAATTGTGTAACAGTGTTTTGAAATATACACCACTGCAGCAGCCCCCCCCCCCTTCCAGAATATAAAGTGCTTGCTACTGCTCCACAGTTGAAGCTTCTGGGCGCTTCTAATAATCGTGACGACTGATACTAACCTGCAGGGTGTAAATATTGCACTGTCTTCAGTTTTTCTGTAGAGCATGTCTTTACGAAAGCACATAGAACAAGAGAGGGCTGACACTAAATAGCCTAAGTCGTGCACGTTTGTTTATGCCGACCGGGTTCATTTTGTCGGGGAAGAATATAAAAATTGTAAATAACTAGGCACAAATTCTCCTATAGGCCAGCAAAGAAACTGGTTTCGAAGTAAAAAAATATGTGAACATAACACGAAACTGAAACTCAGTTATGATAGAAGCACATGCACTAAGTCATATGAGACTGGTCAGGTATTTAAATATACTTAGGTATCGGCTACAATAACAAGCAGAAATAAGGTTTGTGTTGAAATTAGGACAAAACTCTGGACATTTTTTATTCAGTTACTATACCATATACATATATACTAAATGTTAGAATTTCGTGGCGTGTAGACTCGTTGCCAGGAAACGACCGCGAAATAAGCAACTACACAACAACCGCCACTAAATAATGACTCTGCAAACTCTGTTACGCAATGGCTGAGTTGCGATCATATGAGTGTTTTCTGTGCGTTCCGTGCCGAGATATTATGGCCGGGACAAGTTCGTGAGTCAGTGGATTGGAGTAAATTGCTTGGTGAGTTAGTGAAATAACTGCTGAGGTTCAGTCGTTGTGACCTGTTCCCGTAAGGATTTGGTAGTTTAGGTCGGGGACAGTTCGGGAACTCGGAGGAAGGAGAACGTTCCACGTTGAAAGTCGCTACCAAGCAACGGCTAGTGAAGACTGTAACAGACTGAGAAGACAAAGTGTGTCCTATATTTATCTGTGAAGTGTGTAGAACAGTGAGAGTATAATCTTTACTTGCAGTTAGAGTTGTAATTGTCCAGTAAATCTAGTAACAAATTCAAACCCCGTCTAGAGTCACCTTTATGCGTCAATATATAACTTTTCCGATTGTTCATGGTTGTACTTCGGAGGAAGAAAATAAATTCGAAGCGCCTGGCAACTGCATGCCTAGGAGAATATTTTATACATAAAATTAATGGAAGTAAGATAGTAATTTGTGAACGGAGAAGTTCATGGAGGTAGGCCTAGGCCCACTGGGGCTGTAATCAGTAATCAGTAATCTGTCAGACGACAGGTCCACAGTCTCTTCCAAAACAGTTCCTCTACTTAATGCGATCTCAAGCTTTCTCCTTCAATTAAAATATCTTCTTCGGTCTTCTTCCTCGTCTTTTGGGCACTTCTATCTGCCCCTCCGGTTTGTTTGTCTCCAGAGGAAACATCTCGCATACATGGTATCTCTGTTTTAAAGAGACTATCCAGGAAAAGTGATAATGTGGTAGTTTTTCCATTTGATTTCCACATCGCAGTACAACAGCCGTTCAAACGACTCTGGTCACGCCTGTTGCTATACGAACTTGAACCATCTCGAGCATCATTTGCTTTGTGCTTCAAGTCGCTGCTGATGACGCTGCTTCCGGCATCAGTTTTGGGTTTTTGGTGTGTCTCTCCGTCTGATGCCTACCCTTTAACCTGTCCAACAAGGGAGGCCCTGCCAGTAGCTAGGCTACCGCTGGTATAGCTCTTACGATTCTTGACATACTGAAACCCCCTCACCACGATAACGTGGAGACCCCAACGAAGGGGGTAGTGCCAAGAAAACAAAAAGATAGTAATTTACGGTTCTGCATAACAAGGAACTCGGTTTGTACACAGTCCACCTAATTATGCTATGTCGTGAAATTCAAAAGGTTACATTTAGCTGGAAATGTAGGCATAGTGAGGGAAATATGGAATTTATACTGAATTTTGGTAGGGAAACATATTGGAAAATCATCACTTGGAAAATACAGAAAGAGTTTTGGTGATAACACAGGTGGACTTCAGAGAATTAGGTCGTACAACTGAGGTAGAGAGGAGTCTCAAGAGTAAGATGCTCAGTAAGGCCGCGCCATAGCTCAAACGGTTAGTAGCTGGCTTCCCATCGCGGCGGCCCGGGTTCGATCCCGGGGTCTGGTCAAGTGGTATTTGTGGTGGACAAATTGGAGCTGGGGCAGGTTATCTCCGAGTACTTCGGGTTCCCCTGCCAATCTTCATTCCACCAATTGCTCCACAATCACCCTCACCTATCGTCTGGGGCTGGTACAATAGGGCAGAAGTGGCCGCAGTACAAGGTACTTAGTCCCACACCACTAGCAATAAAAAAAGGTGTTCAGTACCAGGCTTCGATGTTAACACTGTTGAATCTCAAGGCCCCACTTTCAACCAGCAATTACCGCACAATATTGGAGAATCGTGCCCACAGTGGCTTCGGAGTTGAGCAACTGACTAATTTGTAATTAGTCCCTCTTGTGTTACGAGAACTCGGAATTCATTCTCGAAACTTTCTTAAGAACCAGGGCTACTGAGACACGGCACTGGGGACAGTTTTCGCGCGAAAACACGCGCAGCCCTATACTCAGGCCAGTGTTTCCAAACCGCCGGGCCGCGGCCCCTTACTGGGCCCTGGCATCAATTATACCGGGCCCTCGTCTTATAAAAAAGAATTTACCGGTCGCGGTCTCACAAAAGTTGATAACCATTGCTCTAGGCATCTTCTAGCGAAAATTACAGATGTCGGGTTTCCTTCTTTTTGTAAAACAGGGGTATGCTTGTAAGATTTGAGGTTTTCATGGCGGTGGCCATGAAGAATGCAGTCTTCTTGGATGTTGTGCCGTGTAGATCCCGTGTGAACCGACGTTCCTCCGAAACGTCCGTTCACACAATATCTACAGGGCGCCACATTCGAGAAGACTGCATCCTTCAGGTGCATACAACTACACATTTTTTACCTTCTCCGTTTTCTGACTTACGGTTTAGAATATTTTTGCAAAGGAAATTTTGGACAATGGTAAAGTGAAATGTTCTTGTCTTTTATGTAACAGGATGTTAAACTAGTACATCTCATTACTTTTATCTTGCATTTGCAGTTTTAGCACGTGTTGTTCATGAACATCATTTTGATGTACCTTCAGCTGTGAAGTCAGTAGATTACCCTTATAAACATGGGCATTCTTCTTACTTTTCCTGCCTTTTCGTTTTTTTTATTATTACTCGTATTTTACATCTTTACAATCTACATCATTACAAAGTATTAAATAAATCTGATGCAGGTGGTTAGCTTGCAAGGGAAACATTCAGTGATGTTTCTCCTGCATGTAGTCTATTTCATTGATTGATGATGTCTTGGGGCCATGTTCTGTTCAGTCTTCTTGTCACTGGACCGTTGGTGTATAGCTCTTCTATTAATTCGCTGTCATGGTTTACAGGCTGCTTTTCGTGAAGTACTTTATGGCCTATTCAATATATTGGACTGACTAATTGTATTCCATTTCTTTCCCTCCCACCGACTGTTAGGATGTTGTTTGTTGAAATACTTTGAGGAAAATTACGACTTTTATGAATTCGACAATTTGGCTTTTCTTTCTCCCTCTGCGTGCTCTCGCGGGCGTGTGCGGAGAGAGTAAGCTTAAGGGTAAAGGAGCCAGATTGTGTAGCTGGACATTTACCTGCATCTAGTAGACAGGCCAAGATTATGTGGAACTTATCTCCACTCTATATACACTTCCACGAAGTGGTCATGAGGCATAGATGCGATACTGTCTTTTATTTATGATAAATAATAATAATAACAATAACAACAACAACAGTCTAAGTTGCTGGGCACCACACGTTAATGTATTTTAAAGTGAACCGACATGTGGAAATCTGACCACCATCACAAAACAACACTACCGCTCCTATTATACCAGGGTCATTCCATGTGAAGTTATCCAGAGAGGTCGCTCACCATTTTTAAAAAAATCCAAACTCTGTACACACCTCAAAAATATTTTAAAAAAAATTGTAATCCGCTCGGTTCTCCCGGTACAGCCGTTTTTATAATGCGAGAAAACGCGTTTTCGGCTCAAATGGAGGTTTGCGTTATCGTCTGTATCTCGCTAACTATTGCAGCTAGAGACTCCAATAAGAAACCAATTTGTTCCTCATGATATGGACTATAAATCGTGTTATTACAAGGTTTCACTCAACTACTTCTAGGTCTAATTAAGCTCGAAACTTACATATCGATTTTGGGAGAAACGCTATTTTTACCTTCGAAAAACAATGGGAGGGGGAAAGTATCAGACTTGTCGTTTCCACCCTTTGTTGTTACCTACATGGGGAATATAATCACGTAGGTTGAACCTCGTACCTAGTTTCCAGAATTTTCCAGGAGTTTTCAAACTTTGCTCTGGGCGCCAAATAAGCCATTTTTAACATCTCATATCTCCTGTAGAGAAGCTCCGAAAAATTTGAAATTCATAGAAAATAATGCTCTGTTCTAGAGTAACTTGGAGTTAAAATTACAACTTTGATATTCAACTAAGAGCGAAGTTGTGGGCACTTTGAATTTTACAGATTTTGCAGAAAATTGTTCGTTTCTCTTTCAAGAGGAGATTCAAAGTTTCCACTGGATAAGTCAAGAGGCTACACTTCACCCTTTTGTGTATTACTACAAGGCGGACACTATAACAAAATGCCAAGCTTGTGTATAATCAGTGCTCATGTAAAGCACGATACAGCCATAGTTTGTGCGTTCCAAAAATTTCTTATCGCCGATGTAAAAGGAAATGTGCCTTCAGTCAGGAAAGTTATTTATTTCAGTGATGACGCTGGAAGCCAATATAAAAACAAAAAGAATCTTTACAATTTATGTCATCACTATGAAGACTTCGGACATGAAGCAGAATGGAACTTCTTTGCCACCTCGCACGGGAAGAATGCCTGTGACGGCATTGGCAGCACCACGAAGAGGCAAGCAGTGAAAGTCAGTCTTCAAAGAACTCATTTTAATCAAATCATGTGTCCGCTAGAACTGTAAATATTCTGCAAACAAAATATCCCAGGGATAGTTTACTTTTTGTGCCAAAAGAAGAAGTTGCAAGAAATGACATAATTCGAAAAAGCATGTTCCAAAAGTGCAAAACTGTGCTCCACACAAGAGAAAAACACCGGGTCGTCCATCTGGAGGAAAACACGGTCAGGCGTTATAAAACATCCAAGTCCGATGATTTCGAAGACATCGTGATAGTGGACACTTACTGAACTACGTGTACTCTCAAACAAACTGGAAAATATTCGTCGGAGTACACAAAGAACTAATACCATTGGATGCAGGTAAGCCAGTTGTTGAGGTATTGATTTCTTTTGGTAAAATTCGAAGTGCCAACACCTTCGCTATTAGTTGAATGTAAAAGTTGCAATTTTAACTTAAAGTTACTCTAGAATAGTGCATTATTAGCTATGAATTTCAAATTTTTTCGGAGCTTCTCCACCGGAGATACGAGATGTTAAAAATAGCCGATTTTGGGCCAAGAGCAAAGCTCCTGGAAAATTCTGAAAAATAGGTACGGCGTTCCAAACTTTGTGATTATATTCTTCATGTAGGAGAAAACAAAGGGTAGAAACTACATATCTGATACTTTCCCCTCCCATTGGTGTCTGAAAGTAAAAAATATCGTTTTTCCCAAAATCGATAGGTAAGTTTCAAGCTTAATTACAGCTGGAGGAAGTGAGTTGAGTAAAACCTTGTAATGACATGATTTGTTTCCCATATCATGCGGAACAAATTGGTTTTTCATTGGAGTCTCTAGCTGCAATAGTTATCGAGATACAGAAGATAACGCAAACCTCCATTTGAGCCGAAAACGCGTTTTTTTTTTTGCATTATAAAAACGGTTGTACCGGGGAATCCGAGGGGATTACAATTTTTTAAAAAATATTTTTGAGGTTTGAAAATATGTAGAAATAAATGTACGACATTTGAATTTTTTTTAAAATGGTGAGCGACCTCTGTAGATGAGTTCACATTGAATGGTTCGTCTGCCAGGCGAATCGGCTGGTTAATAGAGAGTAGTTATTCTGTACACCAGGATGTGGTAGCACCAGTCTAGCTTTGGATGCTGGAAGTAGTTCCTCTGACCGTTCGTAGAGTGCACGCTGTTGACGTATGACGTATGGAAAAAGAGCCAAGATACAACTTGAATTATAAATAAATGCATTCGATCCACGACAGCAGATATCTTCAATGGCAGAAGCGGACAATTTTCGAACATTTAGAAAGAGGTCGAATAAGTGTTCAGACTTTGCAATTAAAAACTCAATTCAGTTTTGTGCTCTAAACCAAAGGACACGAGTTCCATTCCTGTTCATCAGTTATGTTTTAATTGCCCATCATGTGTCGAATCTTGTCTGAATTAGCAGCTATCCGTGTGTCGTAGCGTTATTCGGTCTTAATAGGCAATGTCGGAATGCCGACCTAAAATAGGCCTCCATATATCCTTATAGATCTTGATCCAGCAATAATAATGGGAGAGGTAAGAGTGTTCATTCCGCAATAAAGATAATTTTCTTGTATGTTAACACAATCACAAGATATCCAATAATCATATCTTAAAATTCTTTATTAAGTCCGTCACAACATATCCTATATTACAAAAGTACGTGTGCTCGAATGGTCAAGAAAATATCCTTTCCATGAACCCCAAACACCTATTGTTGTATCTGCAACAAAACGACAAATAGATCTCATGATTTAGTTGAATCCAGCTGACCTCTTCATAACTTTTTTCTTTGAGATAAGTTTAATATTATCATTCTATTTACGCTTAGGGCTCCCAAGTGGTCCCTTGCCTTCATTTTACGGGACTAAAATTGTACATGCTCTTATCGTCTCACATAGCACCGTCGTCTCTAATAGGCCTACTCCCTGGCTTGGCCATCCACATAGTTGGTGAAGTTTATAGGGCATGATGCTCATCAGTATGTATTTCCTTCCATCATCCTGCCGCTTCCTCTCTCTCCAGTTTCAGGCGTCTTTTTGAAACTTTGCTCTCCACCGTCCTCAATCTCTCTTCTTTCATTAGAGCGAGAGACCAAGCTTAGTTCCTATATTAATTCGTACAGTAATCTCCGAGGTCTACATAAAAGATTCCAAAAAGACTGGTACAAAGTATTTATCGAAATTAATTTGCCCTTAATTTGTACGAGAATAGAGGGGTAACTGTAAAGTATTTTTTTTTTCAAATACTTGAAAGCTGACATACTCGTGTATATTCCTGAATGTACTGCAAATGCAGTTAATTTATTATATTTCAATCCATCCCAGTTGGTTCGGATAATGTACTGCATACGAGACAGAGATTGTCCAAGTCGGCTGAGGTTTCTGAATCACCGACAAGGTGCACAATGCGTGCCTAACCGAAGGATAATATTCGACGTCCATCAGCAAAATCATTTCAAGTCTTGCATAGTATTTGGCTACGGAATAAATTTTGATCAGATAGGTGAACAAGAAGCAAGGTGTTCACTAATAAATGTTTATTCATTCATCACAGAATCGTTCACAGTTGAACTACTGTTTATGTCACTCAAGCAAAATCAGACGTTAGGAAGCGAGTTAAACAAGTAAACTCCTAAATACAACTGTTTAGATCGTTGCCAATCGACTTCAAAGTTTATTGTTTTGGAAACTGAATCTGTTTTTGCCGTGAAGCGCAGTAGAGGAAGGTTTTGTGCCCAGAGGGATCCGTCAGAAAGAGCCAGCCTCAACAGCTGGCAGCTCTTTCCAGTTCTCTTACAACGGATGATGGAAACAGATGTGGTTTCTGAAACGCTGTGTTAAAAAAGAACTTTAAAAAGATATGCACTGTCCGAAAAACGTCATATCTAGTGTTGCATATTATCATCATAATCATTATCAGAAGCATTTAGACTTGGCGTCTGTAAACCTCATCTGAACATAATCCTGATTATAGCAGTGGGACACATTACGTCGTCTTGTGGCGATCCGGTGTGTCGCAGGGAATAGTCCGTTTAAGCACTACAACGAACTGATAAGATACGAGCAATGAAGCTGTCCAAAACATCTTGGAGGGTTCGGCGTACCTTCAGTAGGCCATTAAATAAAAAAAAAATATTAAACGTCTAAGAGTGATTTGACTTCTACGTCGCTACGTGGCGATGGCGGAGCCCCAAAGATGCTTTAGGCGGATAATAAGGACGAAACTTTGGCGCCCACGAGGCAAACGGCAGTCGCATGGTGACTTCAGAGGCTGGCCCGTGCGGTGAGGGCTGTCTAATTCCGGGGTTATGTGGCAGTGGAGGTTCTGTCGTGTATCCCAGGTTGTCGTAGACAATAACGCCGTTGGGGCGGTTGCCGAACAGGAAGTTTCGGAGCGTCATGAAGACTGCGCCCCACAGGACCATGTTGCTGAAGGTCATAGCTGAGGTGACGAACATCTTGAGTTGCAGTAGTGTGTAGGGGAACATTCCCACCGACAGCGCTGTCGGGACCAGCATCCACGGCTCAATCTTCATCATATTACGACCATCTGCGGGAGAAAGCAAGTGATCTGCCACTTGGAAGAACAAGGAGTGAGCAACAGATATTAAGATGAGCCTTAGCTAAACAGACTGTGAGGATGTGAACTGAACTGGAGCAGAGCTGCGTTCTGTTGTGCGCTCTGATACTAAAATTTGTTTTGCCGGGGTTCCCCTAGCCGAATATTAGGCAAGGATTTAGTAGCGTAATTAATTAGGTATTTAAAATATATTCATTGTTTTGACCCGGGTTCCTCTAGCCGAATATCAGGCAAGGATTTAGTACGGTAATCAATAAGGTATTTAAAATATATTCATAAAAATTATTTCCACAATGTTGCTGCTTGGAACCGTAAAAGAGAAAATATATGGACTTAAGTTGTACAATTTTGAAAACAAAGCTTATTGAAGAAAGCAGTTTTCTGGGATGTGGCGCCGTGCAGATATTGTGTTCATCGACGTTTACGGAGGAACATATCGCCTCCATCTTCAGGGTAGAAGAGCACTCTGTGAGCACCTGCTCGCGCTAGTTCCTCGCTCGCGGAGTTTCTAATCTTTTTTCTTCTACCCTGAAGATAGAGGCAATACGTTCCTCCGAAACGTCGGTCAACACAATTTCTACATTGCGCCACATCCCAGACGACTGCTTTCTTCACAGTCACCGCCGTAAAAAACCTCAAATCTTAGAAAGCTTATTGAACTGAGCTTGAGAAGTCTTCTTAGGATAAAGATAAAGAAACTGAACGTAAACGACTCCGACGGAATGTAAAAGTAAAAAAGTAAGTAAAGCTATTTCTGTACCAGGCCGTGAAGGCCCATAGGGTTGTGAGACGTTGAGGGTCCCACATTACCTAGACAATCGGCTGATAGATGGCGGTAAGGGTCTCAGCCTTACGCGCCGGCCTCGCTTTACCCCCAGGAAGATTCCTGGTTCTCATTTCTGTTAGAGGCTGAGTCGACCCCAGGGCCATAGTGCTGCTGGAAGGATTAGGTCAATTGAAAAAATCCAACGACCTCATCGGGACTTGAACCCGCGACCTTCCGGCTTGTAGCATAGTGCCCCAACAGTTGTGCAGTAACAATACAGATGTGAATGTGACTAATATGAGGACGGATGCAGTCCACTGATTGCTCCACAATCATAATTTTCATCTGGGGCTGGTACAATAGGCCAAACATGGCCGCAGTACCAAGTGGACTCAGTCTCACCCCGTGAGCAAAAGGGGGGGGGGAGGGAAAAAGAAAGAAAAACAAAAAGGACTTGAAGAGAAATGGGTTAACTAGGTCTCATACGTGTAGATGCTATGACCAGTTTTTGTGGCACTGATGAAGGACACTACTTTTACGTATAAAGTGGTCTATAGTTAAGTTGAATAATAATCGTTTACAAAAGGAAGCCTCCATACGCTTACTTAGCAGGTTCATTACGTCGCACCATAGCTCAAGCGGTCTGGTTTCGATCCCGGGTCTGGTCAAGTGGGATTTGTGGTGGACAAAGTGGCGCTGGAGCAGGTTTGCTCCAAGTACTTCGGTTTCCCCTGCCAATCTTCATTCCACCAATTGCTCCACAATCACCCTCACCTATCATCTGGGGCTGGTACAATAGGCCAGAAGTGGCCTCAGTACAAGGGACTTAGTCCCACCCCACTAGCAATAAAATAAAAGTCAGAACTGTACTCACTCTGCAAACAAGTCTATTATTTACTATTGCAGTCTTCCTGTATATTACGTCGTACAGCTTGTCATTACATGGAGTCACATATCTGAATATTCAATGTCGTGTGAAATTCAAATGTTGTTGTACAGTTTCTTACTCTGCTAGTCTCAGAGTAGACAAGTTAGATGTAAGCTGTATGTTAGTAGATCAGTAGGTTAGCCTGTCAGTGGTCAGTAAGTCCAGGCCCACATATACGAGAAGGACCAGCAGGGACATCTGGTCAAGGTCCCTGGTGTAGAGGGCCACAAATATACAGTTATTTAAATGAAAATTTTTTACTAAATAAGAAATAATATGGGGATTCAGTTTTATTAAATTGTGGGCTTGTTGTTGTTGTTGTTGTTATTGTTATTATTATTATTATTATTATTATTATTATTATTATTATTATTATTGGTCTTTCATTTATATTCGTTTGATTTAAATACGATTTTAACAAAATATTTATTAAATATATTCACATATTTATATAGCTTTCGGAGTGGGGTGGGGGCTGCACATTTGTGAATGGCCAGAGTTCCCTCGCACCTCTCTCGGCCCTGAGTAAATGGGTCAGTGAAGAAGAGTCACTCAGTAAATATTTTAATTACTCTATGTAACAATTAGTAAGTTAGTTACTCGACCAGTTAGTACATCTTTACAATTATTATATCAGAAATTAAGTTGGTAATTCATCCCTTGAGAACTTCCTGTATATCGTACGCGATAACATTATTTGTGAACTCAGTTATCTTGAGTAGGAACCAAAAGAAAAATGAATGCATTTACACCTGTAACACTGTGCTGAACGCTATATATTATATTATTTCGCTTATATTTTTGAGAGAAGCTAAAGTTAAATTTAGATTTTTTGCTAAGCAAAAAGTAAAGTTATCTCCATGCTATGTTCATCATGCGATGAAGAAATATGGACTAGTGGAGGCAAACGCGAGACTCAGCGCTTTCCTAACTTCGGCACTAGATGATGAATGATCATCTTCATGCCCGACTCCCAGGAAAAGAGCCCCTGGGTACACATTGGACACAAGAATGCGCGGGTCCCAGATCAAGTCTAGTACACGTATATTTGCTGAGGAGACTCAGAAATCTCTCCCTGCCAGGATTCAAACACTGAATCCTAGGAAGTACAGTCAATCCAATGGTAGCCTAACCCTTATATAGCCCGAGCTACCCCTTAAAATTCATATAAAGTAGGTTAAGTTTATATTATGTTGACGAGGTTAGAATTTAAATTGGTCTGACAGATTTTAATATAGATTACATTTCATGAAATTGCTATAGTTCTCTGGAGATGAAAACCACGGATTCATAGGAAAATTGACGATTGGTCAGAGACCATCTCTCAATTATATGTCCGTCAGAGTCACGTATGAATGGGCTGCATAAAATTACATTACGGGGAACCTATGCAACAAATATTATGAATTATTTCCTTCTTCAGCTAAAAGAATAGACAGTTAGGTAAAGTTCTCCCTATGCTTAACTAATTAAGCACTATGCCTTGAAGGTATATGGGGAGTGGATATATGTAGATGGTATTTTCTTGACATCGGCACTAGTTGGAGGTGAGTGATCAGCTTCACACCCCTGCCGTATTATCCCCGGGGGAAAGAGCCTCCGGTACCTATTGGATAGGAGGTTGGATGGACTCCAGAGCATGTCTGGAAGACTTGGAAAAATGAAAATTCTTGCCCCCACCGGGATTCGAACTCGACCCCTCTGTCATCCAGCCCGCACGAGTAACCAGTCGCTATCCCCGCTCCTAATAACAGACTGTAAAACTAATAACTCTACATAATTTTATATATTATTGATGAAGTCCACATGTAATTTGATAACGGCAAATTTTTTACAAATCTTACCTGCGTGAACATAATTGTTTTTATTCTTTTCTCCACCTTGAATCAGTTTGACAGATATATTAGCAACATTCGGCCTGATGATGCTGATCAGAATATTTACTGTCAAGCCAGGGATGAACGTGAAACTCAAGCTTCTGTTCTGGAATAAGCTTGGAATTCCTGACACAGTAAGTAGCCGTAACTTCTGTCCTTCACTGATACCATCACGCCACTTGTCATACGTGTCCAATTCGCTAATAACATTTCTTCTTGAAGACTCAACGCCACCGGACAATTCGACGGAATTATTGTGTATATCTACTTCTTTAATAAACCTAAGGATTTCGGCAATTTTATGTAAAAAACTAAGCTTTACACAAGCTGTAAAGGTTTTATCAAACTGACAATCTATCAATTCACTTTTCCTTCCATAACTATCACCAGCCTGTCCATTGTTACGTTCTTCATTTTTGGATAACATATCAAATTTATATTCTTCGCGGAAGTTTCCACTTTTTGTTTTTTCACCTGAGATGCTGGTCGTCTGAACTCCTTTTCTATGATTGACACCATTAGCTGCTACACTTTCCAGTTGTTCCGACTTAACAATGGGCACAGCCGTGCACACCGTTAACAATACACAGATGATCCAAGCTCTTGGTGTTAGTAATTCCATATCCACGGTGACCACCACAATGTGAGCTAAACACCGCGAGATCACAGGACGTATGTTGCTTTCCGACGACCTTGTTTTGCGTAATATTCTGTAACTTCAAAGAAACACCAGAGAAAGGTAGGGAGGGGAGGAGAATCAACCGGTTCTGCTTCGTGGATAAGTAGCAGGTCAAACAAATTGCAGAACTGATGCTGAGCCCGTTCCATCCTCGTCCTCTGGTATTTCTGGGGTAGTTGCATTAATCTGTAATTTCAATCAAGAATTTCGGCAATCTGCTTCAAAACGGTGGCGTAATGGCGTACTTAAAATTGGAATCTACGGCACTTCCAAACCTCTTCTGCAAGATTTTGTATCTTCGTTGCTTGATGATGATTATGACGCACCTTGTATAGTTCTGTACTAGGGATCTCCGGTTGCAGAATTTAATGTGGTAAAGTAAAATAGTAAAGGTATACCTGTAACAGGCCGTGAGATGTTGAATTTCCCACATTTTCTAGACAATCGACTCATAGATGGCGGTAAGGTTGTCAGCCTTACGCGCCGGCTGCCCTTTACCCCCAATAACATTCCAAGAAGATTCCTGTTAGTCATTTCTGTTAGAGGCTGAGTCGACTCCACGGCCATAGTGCGGCTGGAAGGATTAGGTAAATTGAACAAAAAATCCAATGACTTCATCTGGACACGATCCCGCGACCTTTCGGCTTGTAGCAGAGTGCCTCAACCAACAATGCTACCTAGAGGCCGCGCCATAGCTCAAGCGGCTAGTCGCTGGATTCCCACCGCTGCAGCCCGGATTCGATCCCGGGTCTGGTCAAGTGGGATTTTTGGTGGACAAAGTGGTGCTGGGGCAGGTTTTCTCAGAGTACTTCGGTTTCCTTTACCAATCTTCATTCCACCAATTGCTCCACAATCACCATCATCTATCATCTGGGGCTGGTACAATAGGCCAGAAGTGGCCGCAGTAAAAGAGATTTAGTCCCACCCCAAGCACAATAGACTACTGTAGGTAGCGGTGCAAGGGGCGAGAAGGTCAACCCCTCATACAGTAGTCCCACCCCACTGGCAAATAAAAAAAACTACGCTACCGCGTGCCCCCAAATTTAATGTGATGGAAATTAAAAAGAAATGTACGAGAAGATAGGCACAGAACATTTCAGATCTGAGTGAACTGTGAGTTATGGAGTAGCTGCTTTACCTTAGTCATTTGCAAGGTGGCAAAACATATTTCCACAAAGCTCAATTGAGATTTGAATTCCTTGAATACAGTAAGTTCTATGTACATATTAACAACATTGCTTTTTTATTCAATAAATTATTAAAACATATTGTTTCGGAGTGTCAAATGTCGTTATTACATCCGTTTGGCATATAATATCAAAACTTTCTGGAATTCTCCTGGTATCAGGAAAAAAATGAGTTTATTTTCTTTAAACTAAAAATAATGTCAAGAGACGTGTCTTCCTAAGCCCTATTACTACTTTAATCAATGAAAAAACTCAGGCACAGAAAAGTCAACATTTCACAAGGGCAGAGCAATCTATGCTCACTTCTGGGGTGTGGAGCGGACGATGTTACATTTCAAGGCCATCGAGAACATCATAATTGACACCTTCCAATACCCTTATGCTACTGAACCGTCTTTAGTATCCCCTTCTCCACAAATGCCAGAACGGCTCTAGGGCCAACCCAGTCTCCTGTGCAATGGGTACAGGGGGCTATTTCCCTGGGGGGTAAAACGGCAGTGGCGTGAAGCTGACCACTCACCTATATCCTGTGCAGAGATTCAGAAAGTTGAAGCTGTAGGTCCATCCCCACCGTAAGTCTTCATGGACTGGTGCTCAATTAATTAATACCAGGGATAACTTTACCTTTTTTTTATTGTTAGTGGGGTGGGACTAAGTCCCTAGTTCTGCGGCCACTTCTGGCCTATTGTACCAGCCCCAGATGATAGGTGAGGGTGATTGTGGAGCAATTGGTGGAATGAAGGTTGGCAGGGGAAACCGAAGTACTCGGAGAAAACCTGCCCCAGCGCCACTTTGTCCACCACAAATTCCACTTGACCAGACCCGGGATCGAACCCGGGCCGCCGCGGTGGGAAGCCAACGACTAACCGCTTGAGCTATGGCGAGGCCTAACTTTACCTTACTCTCGTTAGTGTAAGCGAAAGAAATGTCTCAATTGTTTCTGCCACGAATACAAACACTGGCGGGAGAAACGTTACTTGCGATATTATAACCATGTTTAGTGTAGCGACTACATTCTTTTCATCAAATAAATCGACCAATTTGTTCAAAACATAGATGAAGATAACACACGTACACTTTCATCAAAAAATATGATACGATGTTCATCGAAATCCTCATAAAACCAGGAAAAGTAATTTAAAATTCAATGCAGGAAGTATTGACGCATAAAGATTTACAGTCTGTCTACGGTCCAGAAAACCGAAATTAACGGCCGTGGGGATTCGTTGTGCTGACCCTGTGACACCCTCTATCCTCTAAAGTTGGCACTAACTTCACCGACAAGCGGCGGTCGCTTGTTCCTGAACAAAATTCTTTTTACGGCATGAGGTTCTTAGCCTCATGCCCAACCCGAAGGACCAGGGTATCTCTCTTAGTCTGGTCTGTACCCTTTGACCTTTCCGGCATGGGTGACCCTCCTGGTAGTTAAACTACAACCGGCATAGCTCTCCAGGTCACAGAGTCACGCAAGCCACACCACAACGACAAGTTTGAGACACCTTTGGGGGAAATGGGCACCTAGTGACACTAAATAAATGTCTTGAATATGAGTAGTGATAAGTCCTCCGAACTACATTTAAAGCATATGCTGTTATGACTGAGTCGCTGGGGTCACGTTTATTATAATAAGGCGCACGTCGCAAAGACAGGATTCACATTAAGACAGAAGGATATTTATATACAGGTATTAAAATATATGCCCTTTATACAACGATTATTAACACTGCATATATATTTATCTTCGTTAAATACACCAAATTAATATTTGCTTCAGTTTTAATTTAACGACTTCTGGAACAACTGGTACATAAGTGTCCAAGTAGAACAAAAAATACAACCACAAGTTAATGTGACGGAACGTCGAGAAGCCAAAAAACCCGGCTCGAATCACGGTGACTCACTTTGTTTTGTCACCTGTTCATTTCCATGGTCGACTGCTCATCCTCTTGCAGGTGTCTCGCTATTGGTCACAATCTGGTCACAAGTTCAAACGGGGCTCGATATCAGGAAGAGGTGAGATGTGGGGGCCGGCCGCAATGTTGCCATTGCCAGGGACAGAAAGGCTGAGAGAGTCTGCTGCAGGTGCTACAGAGGTCCACGATAGATCGATGTCAAATATTCCTGGATTCGCCATTAATGCATATGTAACAATAAAAGTGTAGACAACTACTTCCTGCTAAATGATGAAGGAATTCTCCAAGCCTTCTTTTAAGCTCGGCTCAAAATATATAATAATTTTCAAAGCCTATATCGTGCCTCTCATTGAGGAGAGATCGCTCAGGGCGCTTTCGAAGAAGCCATCACGAATACAATTCTAAGATCCCGACGATCTTCCTGAAAATCGAACCCAGGATGTTCACCGAAAGCACAGATCACTTTGTGAATTGCAGGGAATAAGAGTGTGTTGACACAACTTCTTCACGTACCATGCATTTCTGGATGCAACGTGGTCTGAGCGACTGTTGGCGCCGTTAAATAAAGCATAAATAGTAAATTAAAAGGATTTGTGGAGAACTGTTTTAAACAGAATTCAGAATTTCAGTTAAAATATTAAATTGCAGGATATATTCAAAAATATAAATACGACCCTGAAACTTGTTCAAGGAATATCAATGCAGGAGTAGGCAAGGATCTTATTCAAAGGATTTCAGTCAAGGAGAAATAAAGGCTGTTTTTTCAAGGATTATAAATGCAGGAAATAGCATGGATTCTATTCAAGGATTGTCGATGCAAGATTAAGCAATAATCTAATCCGAAGGACATAAACGCTGGAGAAAGCAAGGAGCTTATTGAAGGAATATCAACGCAGATTCAGCAAAAATTTTATTCGAAGGATTTCGGTTCAGGAGGAAACAAGTTCCTTTTTCAAACAAGGCCAACACAAGAAACTTTTGCACTAACTGGAACAAGTGGAGACTATAATTTCAGAGAATGTCACTAGAGGAAGTTATTTTGTTCAGTTTAAAATGGCTGCTGGGCGAACTAGTAATACAAATTATTAGATAAAGGATTTCGTAAAGAAGATTATATGCAGGACAATGATAAAGTGCCATATTACTGTTAATGATTCCCGCGGATACTTGTATTTTTCTTGTACATATTCATCACTACAGTAAACATAATTTCATGACGTTTATATACTTAATAGTCACTGTACATTATACTTCAACTTCCTGTTGTTACACAGTTTGGAAAATGTTAATCCATCTCTTCCATATCTCAGAAGATCAGAGTAATATGAAAATTAATGTTGAAAGCGTACGAAATGTGATACGTTTGAAAATAATTTGGCTATGAACATATCTGGCCCTCTGAAAGATAAAATAAGAGAGAAATTTTGGACATTAAATAAAGAGAAACATCTTGTTTTATAAGGAAACTAGCTACTGTGGGGACATTAAAATGCAGGAGATACGATGCATACAGATCTTTGGTGAGACGTCATGGAAAACATCCACTTGAAAGACCGAGGAGTAAGGAAATAACATTAAGATCATTCTTAGGGAAGATGAAGCGGCCTCCGTAGTCTAGGGGTAACCTTCCCACCTCATGACTCAAGGTACGCTGGTTCAAACCCGGCGGAGGTCGTGGAATTTTTAAGGACGGAAAAATTCAGGGAACAAGTCCTCCGGCAGGGACTTTAAGCCGTGGGTCCCGTGTCGTAGCTTTATGGCACGTAAAAGAGCCTCATGTCTCCAAAGGAAGCCACTGACCTAAATTAAGAACATTTCCCGCCCAACAGTAGTCTCTAACGCTTCTGGTAGATGGGAGAAACATCGAGATACCTCTGAACCAGCCTCGCTGGCTGAGTCGGGACTGATGGTAAGCACCAATACCGGTAGGGTATAGTGACTGGTAGAAGATCATAGGGGGAAGCACAATAGATCAAACTGGTCGCGGTGCATGGGGAAACCCACTTCCTCTAACAATAACAATAGGGAAGATGAGAAGGTGAGGAGGGATGTAATCACCTCAGATTCGTATCCGATGACTGGCTTTTATAGCAGTGGGATTGAACCTTAGGATATTTGCAGTCACAGCTTTTGTTACAAATTATGGGGACACGATGGGCGACTGAAGTGCGGTATGGTGGGGGGGGGGGAAACTGAAACCCGGCACTGCTACAGTGAAGCCTCTCTCCACGTGGTTGCTAGAAATTTAACCCGCTCGTCCAGCCAGCAAACATACCCTTTACCGACTGTACTGCTCAAATTCATTACTTTCTGAACTACTCGTAGAAATGGTGGTAACTACGACCCTGTTTTCAATATATAAATCTTTCAAAGTAAAATCGATAAAACCTCCATGGGAGAGTTTCTCAGAAAACTGCTGAAAAATCGGTGAATGCATTGTCAGTTTGCTGTAACTCGATTCGAATGACCCTCCGAGATCTCAGCACAACTTCGAGATGCGAAGTCGATTGAAATCGGAGAGCATCTGTAGTTAGTTCACATGTTCGGCCGCTAGAAGGTGCCAGGAGGACGATAAAGGGGTGGGGGAACACGTCCGCCGTCGTCTAAATTCCGGTGTATCTCTCTCTCTCTCTCTGCCTACCCATCTCGATCTCTTTCGTTTCCCTTCTCTCCTTGTCAGTATAAACTCAACGTCAAGCCATCACCCAGCTGACTTACTCCGAAGTCAAAGTATCATTTCCATACTAAATTCATATAATCGTTGCAATCAGCAATAGTTCAAATGTAACTCTTAATAATACCCAATAAGTTAGTAAACCGTATTTTTATACAAGATAGAAATTCAGTCGATTATACATACGTCATTTGACTAAGTAGGTCACACAAACTATACATGGATGTCACCTACTCTATGATTCAATTGTTTAGAATCGGAGCGTACTTCATTTCACTGGCAGATGAAGTTAAATACCTGCCATTTCTTCTTGTTCCTCTTTTCGCCCTCAGTTAGAGGTGTCAGCTGTTTTCCTGGGTTGTATAAAAGTCGACTGTGTTTGCGATGTGCATTCAGTTGCCATATGAGCGGTAGAAAGTGACGACAATGAATACTCTGTCTGTTATTTTCACGTGTTGGTGTTTTTTTATTTTTTCTGAGTGTACCGGAGGTGTCTATGGTTACGTAACATCAAGTGTGGAATCTGCAGCAAACAAGTCGGGAGCGAAATATCTTACTTCACACCCAGGTAAATCTAAAGCAACAAAATTAAGAAGTGATTCCCACTACGAGTTATTACAAAATGAAATTCAGTATCACTGTGAAGACGTGCACACGTGTGTTCAGTCAATGTTGGCGAATGTGAATGATATTTCGCGGACAAATGTGTACAGTCTGGCTCAAAATATTGTGCTGGAAAGAGTGGCTGGTGGTGACAAAGAGAATGTTATGTCGAGGGCGGAATTAGAGAAATTAAAAGACGGTGCAAATGGGAGCTTCGGATATGTCACTGCGCTCCTTGTGCAGAGAACACTTGACATATTTAAGACTCACTCTTTAAAATGGAAACTACTGCCTGGAATGGACATCAGGGTATTTCGAAATCTGAATTACGGAGGAAGGATGGACATCGCCTTAGAGGTACAAGACAGAGGTAAGGCCGACGTGTTCACTTCCAGAAGTTCACACATAAAGGCTTTGGCATACATTAAATTTACTTACATTTTTATAATTCGTATATTTAAACATGCCTACTATAAATACTGGTATTTCTTCTGCATGGGATGAAAGCATCAATCAAAGACTATGTAAAGGCCACGTTCAGTCATGTGTGTCGCATTTCTGACAGTACTGAACAGATTTTGAGTGCATCTCATACTGAGGTCCTACACTAAAAGTTACTCATCGAACCGAATTTTGATTACTATCGATGTAATAAAACACATTCACGGGATGCTCAACTTTAACTTAATCGACTTTCTGAAATGAGAGCTTAACGTATAAAATTGATTATAAAATAAAGTACAGGAAACATTAAGCTCCATAAATTGAAAACGTTTTGATTATATGATAACTGACGACTTACTTACTTACTTACTTACTAATGGAGCTGAGTCTTTCTTAAGGAGCGGCAGATTCTGCAGTTACTCAAGATTTTCGCAGCATTTTATGGAACACGAATGTTCATTACCATGTTCACAAGAACCCTCCACTGGTCCCTATCCTGAGCCAGATCAATCCAGTGCATACCATCCCATCCATTTTTACACTGTCCAGCCACCTACACTTTTGTCTTCCCAGTGGTCTCTTTCCTTCTGGCTTTCCACCAATATCCTATATGCATTCATTTTCTCCATTTGTGCTACATGCCCTGCCCACCTCATCCTCCTGATTTGATCATTCTAATTATACTTGGAAAAGAGTATAAGTTATGAAGTTCCTCATTATGTAGTGACGATTAACGACATACGAGAATATTCAACTGAATTAATTGAGCGTTCAAATTAATGTTTCCTTCCAGTTTTCTCAGTTTTTGTTTGTTAATTGAGATAACTGCCTCCTCGAACGGTCTTACCGACTTCCTGAAGGATTAATAGCCCAGGTATTTAGAGCAAGGAAGAGTCTTTTTTTCCTTGGCACTACAGCCCCAATGGGCCTAGGCCTACCTCCACGAACTTCCCTATTCACTTCAGTTTTTCTAGATCTTACACATTTTGTAGGACTCCTTGGGCGGGTGATCAGCTCGTCGCAAGGCCTCTACCTGTACACAAACACAGAAAAACGCACACAAACATCCATGCCCTGAGTGGGATTCGAACCCACGATCCCGGCTTCCGAGCGAGCGAAGACAGTGCATGCCTTAGACCGCTCGGCTACCATGACCGGCTAAGAAGAGTTTATTGATCTTAAAATTATAAGGAGTGTCTTGAAGTTAAAGTTGTTCTTTGTCCTGACCATCGCACGCGGTAGCGTAGTTGGTTGAGGCACTATGCTACAAGCCGGAAGGTCGCGGGATCGAATCCTGATGAGGTCACTGGATTTTTTCAATTGACCTAATCCTTCCAGTCGCACTATGGCCCTGGGGTCAACTCAGCCTTTAACAGAAATTATTACCAGGAATCTTCCTGAGGGTAAAGGGTGGCTGGTGCATAAGCCTGATATCACTACTTTCTGAGAGCCAAGTGTAGAAAATGTAGGAGCCTCAACGTCTCACAACCCTATGGGCCTCCACGGCCTGTTATAGGGATAGTTTTACTTTACTTTACTTGGTCCTGATCATCATGTCATATAGTCATATAGGAGAAGTAGAGGCAACACTCCACGTAGTCTTTACATGGCTCTAGATAGCAACACAGCGATCAGCTTTGCGCTCCAGTCGATTCGCTCCCAGAAAAGGATCCCCGATGGATAAGAGGCTGGAAGGCCTAATAATGATAATAATACGAAGAATATCCGAAAAGTAAAGATACAAATCCAGTAAAAATGCGACGGGTTTTTTTAGAAGCGGCAGTGTTACTGTGTGAGACAGGAACCGTATGACAGGGCACAGTTCACCGGCCACAGTCACGGTAACGTAGTATTCACAGTATGTGTTTAAAATGGCCGTGTCGATTCAAAATCGCGCCAAATGTGAGATTCCTGCAGTAATTCGATTTCTTCACGAGTAAGGAGAAACTTCTGCTGGAATTCATCGCCAACTTGTTCATGTTTACGGCGAAGATGTTATGAACAGGCAAAATGCGGCAAAATGGTGTCGTGAATTTGAAGCGGAAAGAAGTGGTGATCATGATGAAATAAGGAGTGGAATGTCATCAGTTGTCAGTGATGAAATCATCAAAAAACTGATGAAAACATTCGCGCTGACACGTTTAACCATAGACGAACTACATCAAGAATGTCCAGACGTGTCAAGAACTGTTCTCAGTATCTACGAGAGCAGGCGGGGGATTTCTACGACGTTGGAATCAAAATACTCGTTCCCAGGCTCACTAAGTTCATTGCGATCCATGGTGACTATGTTGAAAAGTTAATAAAGGTGTGTTGTAAAAGTGCTACAAGTGAATCCCTTAAAAATGGTTTACAAATATTTTGTGGACTTTGTATCTTTACTTTCCGAATTTACTTACTTACTTACTTACTCATGAGCCCTTCTTGATGAGCCGCCAATTCTGCAGCTACTCAAGAATTTCCCAGCATTTTATGGAACCCGAAGGTTCATCACCGTGTTCACAAGAGCTCTCCACTGGTCACTATCCTGAGCCAGATCTATCCAATCCACATCATCCCATCCTATCTCTCTAAGTTACATTCTAATATTGTCCACCCACCTACGCCTTGGTCTTCCTTGTGGTCTCCTTCCTTCTGGCTTTCCCCCCAATAACCTATACGCATTCCTCGTCTCCCCCATTCGTGCTACATGACCTGCCCACCTCATCCTCCTTGACTTGATCATTCTAATTATACTTGGAGAAGAGTACAAGTTATGAAGCTCCTCATTATGCAGTTTTCTCCAACCTCCTGTCACTTAACCTCTCTTTGGTCCAAATATTCTCCTTACTTTCCGAATATCTTTCGTATTTCATGCTGTTTTCTCAGCCGCCTGTCAGTTCTGTACCCAGTCACTTTGCCGCAATCCGCACTGAACCATCTGGTTTCAATTTTTGGCCAGGATACTCAGAATTTCCTCTTCCTAACAGCTTTTGTCGGCACGAAGCCTCCATCCACCTGGTCTGGGGAGACCGTATACAAGGGTCCTACTGAGTCTACAATATAAAGCTGACCACTCACCATTTAGTTTCAAATTTAAGATAGTGTGATCATTACCCCCAAATCCACAGTGAGATTTCATGTCATGACATGAATCAGATTTAACATTCTCAGCACAACAATAATTCGTTTCTTGATTAACCGTAAGTTTCCTAAATTCTATCTGATGTATCCGGAATTCCCCGGGCCTATTGCAACGCATATAATGTCATGTGATATGTATTGTGATTATAGACAGGTTTTGGATTGATAAGCGAGTTTATTTGACTCTTTGATACAGCGCGTGTTTACACTTTACATTTCATTATTATACACACACACGCACACAAACTATTGTCCACTGTCACTTCTTCACTAGCCGTTGCTCGGTAGCGGCTTCAATAGCGGACATTCCCCTTCCTTTGGATTCTCGGCCGTTGCTTTGTTGTTGCATCCAATTCTTTCCGTTGAAACACGCTCATTTTCGAAGTAACGGCCGTTGTATATTTCCTTATCTCGCAGTTGCTGCCCAGCAACTGGTCTGCATGTATTTTGACAGATTTCATTTCCCCCATATACTATTTTAGAAGAAGACGTAAATTGTCACTAAGTATATCTAATTAATTTCCTTGTATTGGTTACATGTTTGTTAAAACCCCGACATATTTCGGTCACACTCCTCCGAAAATGAACGTGTGAGACCGAAACATGTCGGTGTTTTAACAATACGTAACCACTGCAAGGAAATAAACTGCATATACTTAAATGGTAATTTACACCTTGTTCTAAAATAATCCAACAGTTAACCAAGAGACTAATTTTATCAATGTTTCAGCACGACGTTTACTGATGCCACAATTCAGTGCCCAGAATAGAGCAGAATAGACAATCGGCTCACAGATGGCGGTGAGGTTGTCAGCCTTACGCGCCAACCGTGCTTTATTCCCCAGGAAAATTATTTAATTAATTTCTGGTATTCATTTCTGTTAGAGGCTGAGTCGATCCCAGGGCCATAGTGCTGCTGGAAGGATTAGGTCAATTGAAAAAATCCAGTGCCCTCATCGGGACTTGAACCCGCGACCTTCCTGCTTGTAGCATAGTGCCTCAACCAACTACGCTCCCGCGTGCCCCCATAAATCTTTACATATACACACAGAAATATGTATGAAATATTTTGAAGTAAGTTTTGCATCATGGCGACAATGCGAAAGAGTGAGGCTACTGTCACAGGAATTCCTATGGCTTTACTGGTAGGAACCGGATTCTCATCTTGACCAGGACATTTATCATTATGACTGAGGATTCTCGTGGCTTTCCTTAGGACTATAACCATAAATTAGGTCACGACCAGTTCATCCCATATCCTTTCAAATTCATTATTCACTGCAATCCCACCAAAAGACACCAAAAATAGGATTTACTGACAGGCTCGTTACGTAACTAGAAATACATACAACATTTACGCATTCTAAATGAATTAGTGTCGAAACTGTTCGACCATCCGTCTCGCATTCGTGAGAGATGAGTCTTGACTTAGGCTCAGACCATTCTGACTCAGATACATTGTGGTACCTATTACAGCACATGATTGTCTCATTGCTACAGCACTTTTGGATAACCAATTGCTACGCATGTTCGCAGAACCTCGCACTTTCGGCGGACCGCGCAAGCGCCTCATGCTGTTACTGCCCATCATGTACAAGATGGGTGTCATGACGACCATGATCGGCGGGTTGTTGGTGCTGACGCTCAAGGGGCTCACCATCGGTGTCATCTTACTCATACTAGCTGTGAGCAATCTCTTCAGCAAGCACAAACATTACGGACATCCACACCAAGGACCAACGGATATACACGTCCACATTCACAATGATCCACACGGACAGGCATACTCGGGTTGGCACCAGGAACACGTGGATCAACCACCGTATCACGTAGAGCACTCCGGCCATTACCATAGGAGGTGGTCCCCACCGTCACAGCAGCCTGTCCCCCTGCCGTACTCGGACTTGCTCTGATTCCTGACGGCCACTGACGGCCACACCTACACACATCCGTCCCACGTCGTAGGGAAGAGGACAGATCTCGAGTGCCAACCGGTTATTATTTCATGTACATCGTACATAGTCTTATTTGCAGTATTATTTCTTCCTTATAACAAACCAACTTCATTATGGCCAGTTTCTACAAAATATAGGATCAATATTTCATGCTTATTGTAAAGGTGTTTGATGTTAAACTTATAAGCTACTGTTTACAGTCATGTATGTTCATCTAGGATAAGGGGGCCCATACAAGTACGAGTCTGGCTCAAGAGTCCGACTCGGCTCGGGCTGCAATGAGCCGAACTCGTCCGTGTGTTGGTCCCCACGCTCATACATGTGAGGTGAAATTAATCCGAGCCCGTCTCCTAGCTGAGCCGGACTCGCGAGTCAGACCCGTACGTGTATGGGCCGACTAAAAACAAATGGAAGTGGAGAAATCCACTATACGTGCAGGTTCGAGGATGAATACGTATGAAGTAACTCAGACGAGAAGAATATTTTGAATTATCCTTCTCGAAACCAGGGAACTATATGAAAATACTGACATCAGTAAAATCACGCCAACACGTTCCCTAAATCGCGAATTTCAAAATATGACAGAAAATTGCTAGCCACGAGAGCAGTTACTGTTTCTATGTTATGAAAATCTGCAAGTGCTAAGAGAACTTATGCTTATGCTAAACCAGGGTATGTCTCTTCTCTGACTCACATGTCTGACACGATTATGTTGAACCGTAGCTGTAGACCCAAGTAGTGGAATATCCTTGTCCACGAGGTTGCAGCAAAGTAAGCTTGGGAAGTCTTGAAACTTATTATGGGCTCAGTCCATAATATGACTGTCTGTGGGCCGGGAAGCCGACTACATTTCTCTTCATAGCAACATCCAAACCGTCTGTGGGGCCCACGTAGACCCAGACCCAATGAGCATTATGGCTCTACCTCAGGAAATAAAGCAGCCGTAGCTTGAAACTGACCACTCACTTAAATAGAGTTTCGAGGCATTTAACGCCTGAAGTTTTTTCTTCCAAACCACCATGCGTCCTCAGGGTATATATGGTAATTCAGCATGACAAATTTACCTTTCAACTTTACCGAATTTTCCGGTATTTCCTGTACTTATTTTCTTCCTTCTAATTTTCTTTGCATTTATTCTAGAAGCAGGCTTTATCAGCAGCATCTGCTGCATTTCCTGACTCTTCCGTAGCCCTGACTATTTTGCCTGGCAGGCTCTTCCACTCCTCCTTACATAATCTTGCTTTTAGTAAAGCCCATACAACAAATACGAGTAGTAAATAAATTAACAAAATACGATTTATGTTCATGCCAAACAATTAAGTTTTCCTCTTTTATATTAATTTCGTTATATAAATCATGAAGCCGATCACAGTAGCCGCGTGGTCTAAAGCATGACTTCCTGGGTTCGAATCCCTATATAAGTGGAGGCCTTGCGAGGGCTGATTCCCGTCGAAGAGGTCCTACTGACCGTCCTAGGATTAAGAAACTGAAGTGAAACAAAGCGTTTCACGGATATCCTATGCTCCAAAGTTGTAAAGTTGTAGCAACAAGAAAGAGAGAGAGAGAATGATTTTCTTAATTTTACATCAACTATTTATATTATTTAGTGTTCAATTAAACTGAAACAAATGTACGCCATGTGCATAATTCATGGATTTATTTATTTAAATGGGAGTGTGCTCAGAGTTTATCTGCTCTTATTATTGCATTTAAAAGGATAAATTATAACTGAAATACAGTGAGACACTGAGTATTATTCAAACTTAAGACTCTAGATATGATACTTTACATTCTGAACAACTAAATTTCCATTTAATATAAAGTAAACATTATTTTACCTACGTTTAGAGTTACAAAACTAACCAACTGATAAATTAATTTTAAAATAACTGCAACAAGTGTTACGACATTGTTGCATGCAATTAGGCCTATGTTACTACGATCATTAATAAAACTGCAATATTCAGACAATTAAAATGTTAATAATAATATCAATCATTGATACAGGTAATTATGTGTTGTTTATAATCCTTGCAACATGTTTGTAAATGTTGAATATTTTTTTATTATGCTTATTTACAATCTACATCATTTCAGAGTATTAAGTAAATTTGATGTAGGTGGTTAGCTTGCAAGGGAAATATCCAGTGATGTTTCTCCTGCATGTAGTCTATTTTATTGATTGATGATGTCTAGGGGCCATGTTCTGTTCAGTCTTCTTGTCACTGGACCGTTGGTGTATAGCTCTTCTATTAATTCGTTGTCATGATTTACAGTTTGGTTTTTGTACCTTTCAGCCGTTCATTGTATTTCACATTTGACGAAGGGTATCTTTAGGTCGTTATGGAGTGTAAGGTTGCTCACATACCGTGGCGCGTCTGCAATTGCCCTTAGTGTTTTTGCTTGGAATCTCTGGATGAGATTGCTTGTCGACGGCTTTGCACATCCTCATAGCTGAAGACTATAGGACCAAATAGGTTTCAATACAGCTTACTGTTGAATATGAACGTAATTTATTGAGTACACGCGCACTATTCAGGAGATATTCGTTCACGTTACACATATAATCATTTCCCCACACTCAACTGTTATTTTTGCCGCCTTTGCATTCATCTACTTAACAACGGCGGATTTTGGTTACACCTGTAACATTGTTCGTAGAACAAAAACGTGAAACCAAATATAATATAGGCCTATTAGTTGTTTATTTGTTTGCCACAATATAATGTTAAGAACATTTGTTTTGCAAGTGTAGAAGTCAAATGTACATATTAATCCTACAATGCAGTTTTAAATATTATTTGTATATTTCAGCATTCTGTTGCATTAATATATCACTCATCCGTCTACTTTTTATTTTAAGCGTCACTTATAATTACGTTTAAAATTCATAAAATATTATTCCTTGCTATATGTTTCGGCCTCATAAGGCCATTATCAGGAAACTGTTATTGATCGAAATTGCTACACTGCATGGGCATGTTGTTATTTCATGTCGTCGTACTCGAAAATGTACGCTCGAATTTCCCTCATGCTATTTTCGTGTTGCTGTGTTCACGCAGTTTAATTTTAAATATAATTATAAGTGATTTTATAAATTGTTAATCAACTCCGTCCAGTGTGACTGATAACATGTTTTTTTCTTTCTCTCCTTTTTAATCTTCCATCCTTGACATATTTCGGGCTTAGAGACCGAAACATGTCAAGGATGAAAGGTTAAAAATGAGAGAAAGAACAAAAAAAGTTATATCAATCACACTGGACGGAGCTGATTAACCTTTTATAATATTGCTAGTGTGACGGACCGGCATGATCCAAATCATAAGTGACATTTAAAATAAAAAATAGTAGGCACAAGTGATGCAGTTTTAAAATTTGTTACCGCTCTCTGATATCAACATGTACGTTTATATCTACAGTGCTTCAGAGGCTAACACAGTATTAGTAACTAGTTTTTGTTCTATTCTACATAATGCATTACATCCCTATAGTTACAGAAAGTGTTACCAAAGTTTTAAAGTAACATAGTACGTAGGTTTTTCTACGTGTATATACTGGAGATACATTCTATAAAATAAAATGCTGTCTTTCTGATAAATATGACTGTCTATTACAGTGACAGAAGTGTGTTGCCTGTCCTACATAGACGGACTCTCACAAAGGAACAGAAGGTTCGTGCATTGTGAAGTCGTACAATGTATTAGAAATAATTAGTATTAGGATGTGAAAGTGCTATGTACTCGTTACAAAAACCGCATCTAATTCAGCCAACAGCAGGCGTGCCCTAAATTAAATGTATCAGCATAGAATGAGTGTTTCTGAAGTGCAACTCTCCACACTCTTTCTTCAAGGGCCATGGATGTAGTGCCGAGTAAAGCGGCCGGAACTTGAAGGTGACCACCCTTCTATATCTTGTACGGTGTTAAATGGATCTGTAATTTCACCCCCCATACGTCAAGATATGGCGCTTAATTAAGCACAGGGACAATTTTACCGTTCCACCTTTACCAAAAATATTCAGTTTAAGTGTCCAGGTGTCTTTATTAAGTTTGCTCTGTCAGCAGAAACGCAATTTATCAGCAAGAACAGCTGGCTCTTATGTTCACTATTCACTGTTTCTGTCATTGCCTAACAATAGACCTCATGCAACGTGACAGATGCACTTCAATTGGCTGTCGAAACGAGACCTACTTCACGAACTGTTCCTTAGATGTAAGTAAAACGAACTCATCACTCACAGTAACTTGCTGGTGCAAATGGGGACACTGTGTGTTATTTATCTCATATCAGCACTTGCTACACGTCTCAGAGACAAGTGACGTTTCTTTTGAAAAATGAACAGCGAGTTTTCTCTTTAGAATATGGGAATGACGTGACAAAAATCAAGACCTACTTAGAAATGAGATCAAACTCTGTATATTGCGTGAAGACAACTCTATTGGTATAAAAGGAAAAGTATTTATAACCGTCAGTCTGCAATGACTGCTTTATTTCTTTCCATATATAAATCCTTCCGGCTGTTCTATTGTACTGTTCATCATTTTAAGGTCAGTGTTTCAAGGTATTTTCGCTAATTACCCAGGAAGTTCTGAAATACACTGTATTTCAGAGTTATTTTCTTCTTACAATATACATTGCAGATCAACCTGCATATATCATATGTCCAAGGTACACCATAACAAACCCTGTAAATACAGTTAATTCTTTTTGCATTACTTGCGGGATCATCAGTAAATTAATATTAACACCACGATCATTAAATATGAAGCCAAGAGGAGTAAGTTGAAGTAAACAGGGCAGGAAGCCTTGTATCCTAAACAACCAATCCAACGATATCTCGATATCTATAGCAGCGACTCTTCTCTCTTACTTATCGACTGAAATGGAGTGGAGCGACATTGTGCTGCATCCAAGAGTTTAATATCTCCCGGAAAGGACCTCCTTCCAAAAGAACTAAAGTTCATTCTGTAGGAAATTTAGGTACAAATTTGATTTGAGGTTCTCACTGAGGCACATATGAGGAGTTGTATCTTCTGGGATAAAACAACGTTTAGTTCGGTGAAAATCAACCTACGTTTCGGAGGAACATATTGCCTCCATATTTACGGTTGAAGAATAAGCCACGAACCAGCATGAAGCAAACAGGAAGCAGTTCTCCTTGTTGCATAGCTTACGGCGCGTTTCGTATTGCAGACCACGTGATTTAGGCTGGTAGGGTCGGTGAAGGAGTTTAAGTGTCTGGAAGCAAGCGGCCGCAGCAGATTGAAGGCACTATTCCGACATTCAATTCGAGGCACTGAGGAGAATTGTGAAAACCTCAGTCAGGATCGCCGGTGTTGCGTTCCAGATTCGAAAGGAGACATTTCTGAATACAGGCCTAAAACCTTATCATCACATGAACTTGGTTCCATATGTTACATAACATGCAGGTAGAATTACTGGGTTTTTTGGACTTTTTCCATCGTCCGGAATTCTAGGTAATAGAGGACACTCTGGGTAATAGAGGACACGACGTTTCGGAAAATTGATCTGTTTCCGTCTACAAGTGAGAAAGGAAGACACCTTAGAAAGGGGCCCAACTGAGTAGGTGTCTTCCCTTCTCACCCGAAGATGGAAACAGATCCAGTTTCCGCAACGTCGTGTCCTCTATTATCTGGAATTCCGGACGATGGCAAAAGCCAAAACCCAGTAATTCTGTGTCATCCACCATCGTCAGAAACCTTTAGTATAACATGCACGTGTTTCGTAAAATTAGTAAATGTCTAAATGTGCTGTAATTCGAGTTAAGCGTATAGAACGTTACGAGCCTGCTTCTTCGCACTCCTTATAAAGCATTTTTTTTATAGTTCGAATTACCGTGACGAACACAGATGTTCCTGATCACGCTTTGAATACAGAATATACTTCCTCGGTTTTTGTATGCTCATTGCGGACAGTACTCTGTATGTACGGGTCATGAATTCCTGTGCTTCGTTTGAGGGAAGCGCACCAATGGAAGTGCTTATTTAGATAGGCTTACTGCAAGTTTAATCCTCATGGTTATACCGTAACGCCATCAGTTTTCCACATCGCTGAACCAATACATACTTGTAGCAGTTCTGAGATTATCTTTCTTTGTGAACGCTGATTTCCTGAAATATCGTCAAATATCCTAGGCGAATGCCGGTCACGGTAGCCCAGCGGTCTAAGGCATGCACTGTTTTTGCTCGCTCGGAAGCCGCGGTCGTGGGTTCCAATGCTACTCGGTGGATGGATATTTAGTGTTTGTGTGCATATGTGCACATTTTCTGTGTTTGTATACAGGTAGAGTCCTTGCGACCAGCTGATCACCCGCCCAAGGAGTCCTACCGAATGTATAAGGTCTAGTAAACCAAAGTGAAACGGAGAGTTTCATGGAGGTAGTCGAAGGCCAAAATTGGGGCTGTAGGGCCAAAGGAAAAAAAAAAATTCTAGGCTAATATTTTGTAATTGAAATAAACTAATCAGCTTGAAGGTCATTAAAGGGAAGGACATAAATTCATTACAGCGAAGTAAGGAGTGTGGGATGAAATATATGCGCTCATATTACGACAGGTAGGCTCAGAATTCTTTCTTTATCACTTAGTCAAAGATTCAGAACAGTCGGTAAGCTGACAGAGATTTGAACTCTGCAATTCATATTACGTTAACTGCAGCTGTGTCTATGTATCTCCCAAGCAGATACGGCCAGGACAGCCGATCCTCTTCCAGCTTCGAACCAAGTATACTTAGAAAATACGAGTTTCACCACCACACAATCGTGCCCATGCATGAGCAGAAACTGAAGATCTCTGATTGAGAAAGACGTTCTCTTGTGGGTTGTGTGAAATGTACTCAGGTGCAACAATAACCACACGTGGCTGTAGCGCATAAGTTTTGTAGAGCCTAAGGTCTAGCTTTTGCGCAAGGATTCTTCAAGCCTATATCACGTGATGCCGGTCATGATAGCCGAGCGGTCTAAGGCATGTACTGTCTTCGTTCGCACGGTAGCAGCCATCGTGGGTTCGAATCCCACTCGTGGCATGGGTGTTTGTTGTGTGTGTGTGTGTGTGTGTGTGTGCGCGCGTGCGTTTTTCTGTGTCTGTGTTTTCCTGTGTTAGGTAGAGGCCTTGCGACGAGCTGATCACCCGTCCAAGGAGTCCTACCGTCTGTAAAAAAAATTTATCATGAAACAGAGAAATCAGCCTTATGCTCCAAAGTGTGAGCAAGAGGAGATAAAATCGTGTAATTGTTAAGTTAGCTAATCTCTCTCACACATTAGAATAAACAAACAAGATACTATAAATTACATGAATCAGATACTTTCTTGGGAAGCTGATAGTAGGTGGCTGCTTAAGAAATTCGCGGGTTTATTATATATCCGAATGTTCATTAATATATTTTTATTCACAATAACCCGCCATTCGTCACTATCCTGATCCAGCTTAATCCAGCATATGTCCTGCCATCTTATTTATTTAAGATCTACAATTTCTTTATTAAAACCGTCACAACACAACAATATCAAGGTCGGTGCCTAGTTTGGCTCTGCTACATGTTTCGGCTATTAAAAGCCATCATCATGCAAATACATGGCCAACATATATACAACCACTGAACTGCAGTACTATTAAAATTAGATATAATAATATTAATTACATTAAAATACTTGGCGTAAAAATACAATAAATTAGATTATATAAAACAAAAGTTATAGTATAAAACAAGAATAAAATTCTTCGATTGATGCTTTACATCATCGAGTCAGTCGTTGGTTTTTGTTATATTGTTGCGTTCCCACGGACAAATTGGAATATTCTGTATAATAAACAGTTTTGGGGGCTCCTGATGTAGATATAGTAATATTAGTGATAATTTAGTCGATGCCTCATCTTACAAAGTATGGTCCGTTCTTTAGGGAATGTAAACCACGACTGAACTACATGACTGTGATGTTTTCCCAAATTCCTTTGTTGGCTTCTGCTGTGTCTTTGTTGAAAATATTCTACACCGCTCTTTGTTATAAATGGCACTGAATCTAGTATCCAAAAACAAGCTTCACGCCCTGAAATACAGAATGTGAATTTAAATTTCTTTGTATTTTAATCTTCAGATTTTTGGTTAAGAGACAGAAAAATACAAAATGGTTCTCAGATCGAGACCTACAAAACACTTCTTGATCAAGTAAAACGATATGATTTTGTTTGGGGAAAGGCAAAACATGATCAGACACTTTAGAGCAAGGATATCGACACTATAGGCCACACCGAGTTAGAAGATTGCTTTACTAACGCTGCAACTAATGACAATCAAATAAAACGATGGGCTTGGGGATTCTAGCCTTGTACGTCCTTCATATGAATGCAAAGCTTGATGGAGCAACAGTGTGCGTTTCTGTATCGGCCACAGCTGGAAGCTTCAGGCAACTTGCCGCTTCAACATTCACGGTTCAGCGAGATGCCCAGACTCTGATGCAGTGATGGAACAAACTAGTTCTTGAATGCAACAAAAATATCAAGCAGACTAGGGGGCAGTCAGTCGGTCAGCTGACTTCAGCGCACGCACAAGGCAACAAGAAGCAATTAACGTACTCCATATTCTAATTGACAATCACAACACTGAAATCGCCGTAATTGGGAAATCGTTTTTCATCATGGCGGCAGCTCGAACATGAACCTCAAGACGACTTATTAGTTAATATAATTGACTGCATTAAGCAAACGTCGTTAGATTCTGTGCCGATATCACAACACTGAGTAAAGTTATGTGTAAGTTTTCTTCAGTTCGAAATTAAATCTAGTGTGGTTAATTATCATTGGTGCCATTTGCTGTGAATCGAAGACTAGTGACGCCAGAAAGTTCTCCAGTTTATCCGTAAGGACGGTAAGACGCTGTTATATTTGACAGTACATTTCATTAATTACCGCCCAGAGCGCATATTCTTTGTGGTCTGTGAATCAGTTAAGTGACATGTTATGTTTCATAAGAATTGTTACAAAAATTAAAGAAATCTGTTATTTTGAATAACAAAGTAAATCGTAAACAGGGTTCAAAGGTAAAAAAGACGCTGAGTCATGAACGGTAAATGAATGAAACATCTTACTAACGGTTAGAGAATATTATTTTGTAGTTTATGTCCCAGTATGACGTAGTTACTAAACACGTTTAAGAGGTAAAAAAAAAATAGAAGACACGCGGAAAACGTGGGTGAACATATTTAAAACTGTTTTATAATTTTTTGATTGTACAATGGCAGAAAGTTTATAAAAACGGGATGTCCAAGTGTTCGCTTCGAAATATTCCACAGCAGCTAAGAACATCTCAGTGTAAGTGCATCATTTTGTGTTAGGCAAACTGAGGAACAGGAGCGTTTATTGGGTCTCCACAATTAAAAACAGAACAAGGAGACAAAGATGGCGTGTAAAATCAGATATTCAACTGTGTGTGGATTACAATTGGGAAGCATTTATCTATTAGCAGTTGTAACTGTTTTAGTGATGGGTACTGACACAAATGTTCAAGAGACAGAATTAAAAGCGGATGTAAAATATGACAAAAGTGACGTAAACGAGCCACAAATTTTCAGTAACGGAAGTGACATGAGAAAGTATTCACAGGCGTCCACTGAATCCGCAGTGCAGGAAGCGAACCTGACCACAGTTCTCAATTCACACTCAACAACAGATGTCACTGCCGCCGATAGAGGCAATGAGGGCATCGAAATGGATAGAAAATCGATAGCAAACATGACATTGATCGATTTGTCGGGTACTTTATATAATTCAATAGAAAGCATTTTAAGAAACTGCTACAATGAATATTCTCCAGGAACAATTCCATACAAGACTGAGGAAAGATTTGTGAAGTGTCTGAAACAGACAGCGATTCGAGAGATGAAATCGATATTGAATTATAACGGATCGAGTGGGCCGCTCGAGTCGCAGGAAAATGGCGACTACAGAGTGGGAAAGATGGACCAATTGATGGATATCGATCGTGTGCCACGGAGGTTTAATGTCAGGGTGAATTTGATGTCCGGGATATTCCTCCGGCTATCCCGCCTGGAGGACAGCCTCAGAGTGGGAATGGAGCTGAACGAGGGAGACATCTTACGGCTGGAAGGTGAGTTATCGCGACATTAATATTAACTCAACCAATTAAGTTCCGTTATTAAGGTGTTCATTTAATTAATTAAGTTCCACGCCATAACGATGTACGGAGGAGTGGGGATAAAGCTCCATTTTTCTTAACCTTTAGAATCAGATGGAGATAAGTGGTTAGTTTCATATCTCGGCTATTTTAGCGCTAGGCAGGAGATTGGGTGGCCCCCAGAGCCAATCTGAACGCGATGGAGAAGAGAAAATTCCTTCCTGTGCCTGAAATCGTAATCCGAATCCAGGCCGTAGACTAGTCACTATGCTGGCTGAGCTACCCCGGCTCCTCATTTAGTGTTTGCCAACAATAAACAGCTTATGAAAGGAAAATAATTGTATGGAATAAAATGAAGAAGCCTTATCCAACGTAATACATGAGAATATATGCCGTAAATATGAAGACGAAAACAGAATTTATAACAATAACAGGGAGCAGACTGCAGGTTACACTGTACAAAGATAACGCCTTACATATGTATGTGGGCTTATTCATCTAGTCTGGGCTGTATTCAATCTCCGCGGGTGAATTCTGAAATAAAAGCTTTGAATTCGTCCCTGTGCTTTAATAATCACCATTCACCAATATCGTTCCACTTCATATGATGCTATAAAACCACTGTAGTTTACACGGCAGTTAACTCTTTTTTCGCCGACTCTACAGCCCCCCTTCGGTCCTGGTCTCTGATTTTCATTTTGATCATTTTACAGACGGTAGGACTCCTTGGACGTGGGATCAGCCGTCGCAAGGCCTCTACCTAAACACAGGACAACACAAACACAGAATAAACACATACACATATCAAACATCAATGCCTTGTGTGGGATTCGAACCCACGATCCCGGCTTCCGAGAGAAGGACGACAGTGCATGCCTTAGACCGCATAAACATGATGTTACGACACAAAAACATAGGACTGGGTACTGTGAACATGGTGTAAACGTAAAAGCTAAAAGGTAAAGCTATCCATGTGCTTAATTAATTACGCACTACACCATGAAGACGTATGGGGGAGTGGAGTATCGATCCACGTTTTCTTGACCTGGCACTAAGCTTCACGCCCCAGACGGTTTACCCCCGGGGAAAGAGCCCCAAGTTCCCATTGGAAAGGAGACTGGGTTTGGACGACATGGAGAAGTGAAAATTCTTGACCCTACTGGGGATCAAACTGTTCCCCTACAGTAAGGTGAAGGTAAAAGTGTTCCTGTGTGCAGGCGCTATGCTATGATGGCGTATAGGGAAGTAAGCCACAGGGCCACATTTCCTTCACCTCGAGACTAGACAAGGCTGAACGTTCCCGTTGATTTACGCCGGGTAAGATTTTGATAGGAAACCCTTTGCATGCAGACACGGCCTAGACCTGGCGTGACAAAAATGCATTTCTCTCCCTGGATTCAACTGACTCAGAGTAGGATCATGTGGTACGTCCTTTTAAATACGGTGAAGAAGCCTGGGTTCATAAATGGCAGGGAATATTTCTACCAGCTGACCGACTCTCAGTTCCTCAAGGATATCTAAGCTCCGTAGAGTTAACTGTTCAGTTCTCTAGTTATTAGTTTGCTGTTTTAATATTTCCCATTAGCTTTATTTATTAAATTTAGCTGGAATTTACTACAGTTCAGATATGAACTACCGGAGTGTCGGAACATATATTATATTATATTAAGGTAAAACTAGCCTTGTGACAAGCCGTGGAGGCCCATAGGGTTGTGAGACGTCGAGGTTTCCACATTTTCTAGAAAATCGGCTCACAGATGGCGGTGAGGTTACCAGTTCTACACGCGGGTAAGCCGCACTTTACGCCCAGGAAGATTCCTGGTACTCATTTATCCTGGAGCCTGAGTCGACCCCAGGGTCATAGTGCGGCTGGGAGGATCAGGTCAGTTGAAGAAATCCAGTGACTTCATCAGGAATCGAACTCGCTACCTTCCGGCCCGTAGCATAGTGCCTTAACAAACTACGCTACCGCGTGCCATTTATAATATTTTATATTTACATTATATTGGTTTGAATTTTCTCGAAGTCCTTTTGGGCGGAGAACTGAGCCGTGCCTGAACCTGAGATCTTGCTTCTTCCGCAAGTTGTCCTTGACAAAGTTAAGTTTGATCACTTGTACTCTCGTCGTTACAGGTCGGGGCAACGATCGAAAGAAACTGAAGAGGCTGCAGAAGTTCATGTCACTGATTCTGATTCCCGTAGCACTGCAGTTCTTGCTCCTGCCCATGGTTCTAGGCTCGCTGAAGATGATGGCCACTAAGGCGCTGATTTCGGCGAAACTCGCGCTCCTCCTCATTATTTTCAACGCCGCTTGGGCAGCACTGATGCCACAGAGAGTGGAGCACAACACGAGAGTCGCGAACGAACATTACGGTTACGATGGGGCACTGGAGTACGGAGCATACGTCAACAAGAGGGCGCTCCTATACAAGGGTCAGATGTAGAACACGCAATGAGAACAAGCAGCAGTTTACACACAATACATCAAAGATAACAGAACAATTGCTTTTCTTCCGAACCTGTACACATAAGGTAGCTGTTGAAGTGTGGAAAAATTCTTGCGTCTTAGTCCCTACGGCACTAATTTTGGGATAGTTATGCCCTATCTGAAAATAGACCATGACCTATACACAATTCCAGTTCATCTCACACGGTCATCCTACAATTCAATGCTATATAACAGAATTCCATGGCACAGAGTCCAGTCTGAGAGGCTGAAATTCGCTAAATTATTAACAAACATTGCTCTCTATTTCATAGAACAAAAAGGTCCACTGTCGTGTTCACAAGAGCCCCCCCCCCACTGGCAGAGACAGATTTAGAGATATGGGGCCCCAAGGCAATCAAAATGTCGACACCCCTATAAATAAAAACAAATTTAGGCCCTGACAATTTTTTTCTTAGTTCTTAAGATAATTAAAAATACAAACTAACTTTCCGTGATTTTAGAAAAGCAAACGCCTCGATAAAATCGGTGAACATTTCTTCTGCTTCGTGAAAGCCCCAGGGCGACTACCCCTGTCGCTCCCCCTTAAATCCGGCCCGGGCCACTGAATCCAGTCTTTACCTTACCACAGAATTACTTTAAACCCAATGAAATACTAACAGATTTTAGGTTCAAACAAAAGCCGTTATGAATATCATCTGGATTATGCCGTTAGTCCGAAAGAATTTGAAAGTTTGCTCGCTGCTTGTTTCTTCCTGACAACATGCTTGGCTTACTTTTCGTCCCTGAAGATGGAGGCAGTATGTTCCTCTGAAATGTCGGTGAACTTTACCATTTTTTTTTCATTGGCGCTACAGACCCCATTTGGGCCTAGGCCTACCTCCATGGAACTCTCCGTTCACTTCGGTTTTACTAGATCTTAGACACATTGGGCGGGTGATCAGTTCGTCGCAAGTTACCAAATTATACGACGCTATATTCCAGCATACAGTGTCCGTTATTTTAATATTATTCTCTCATCTACGCCTATATCTTGCAAGTGGTCTCTTCTCTTCACATTTTCCGACTAAAATTATTGCATCTAGGCCCATTGCACATCTCTCTCATGTGCACTGCCTCGTTTCATAACTTAGGTAATGGTCGGTCAGTCATGGAGCTTGTAATCGTCCACAAATGTGGGCAGAGCACTATTAGAAATTCTACACAGCTTTGAATTACGTCAGCCTGCATATATCTCTTGGAACACGGTAAATCTCAGCCTTTAACTGCTCGAACACTGGAATCATGGGTTCAAATTCCACCCAAAACATAGATGAAGATATGAATTCCTTTTACATTGGCCAACTGGTTTGACCACTGCAGGCAGAGGTTTGCGATGGATAGATCTCTCAATTAAAAATGATTTTCAAACTTTTAAAGTTTATTTCATATTCGGAGCATCCGTGAGAACGGAAGAAAGAAATTTTAAAATAAATTAATTTTATATAAATATTACTTCGAAAGAAATAGGACCAGAATTTCTTTGAACAAACGTAAGGGTACGGCTTTTAAGATTTTGCTTTCTTAACTACTTACATCGCCTTATTGTTTGATGATTCTTTTCTTTAGGGTAAATATAGGAAATAAAATTTTAGCTTTTGATACACAAAATTAAATTGCTATAGTTGATCAGAGCAGGCCGAAGCAAAATCAGATTAATTTATTTTGGGTCTATCAGACAAAATTTAATCGAAATACGGTGAGTGCATTGGAAGAAAGTAGGCCTACATGAGACGATGGAATACATGCACACCTTAACTCTTTGGAATGCAGAGAGATAGCAGCAGTTGTCTGCAGTCTGGCAACAGCTGTCGGTACGACTGCCCTGATGCGTCAATGCTGGGTCCAACACAAATAGCTTCCGATGGTTTCCTGCGAGTCGTAAGATGACACTTATTTTATTTAGTTATCTGTATAAGTTTTATATCTTCTTTCAGCACGTCATATCATGTACGTTAATAGATCTTAAAGTATTGATTCCATCTTCTTTTAATTTTGAATATTTATTTATTTATTTATTTATTTATTTATTTATTTATTTATTNGTATATGTGGCGAGAAATCTGAGATCTTCATCCAGTTTTAGAACTAAGAAATAGGTAATTTTTTAATCCGCTTAGTGGGTGGTGGAGTCCAACTGGGTCCACTTGGCACGGCGGCCAATAATTGGCCTATTGTAGCCTGCCCCGGGTGATTACGATGATGGAGAATTTGGTGGAATGAAGATTGGCAGGGAAAACCGAAGTACTCGGAGAAAACGCGCCTCATCGCCACTTTTTCCACCACAAATCCCACTTGGCCAGACCCGGATCGAACCCGGGTCGCCGCGGTGGGAAGCAAGCGACTAACCGCTTTAGCTATGCCGCGGCCAAGAAGTATGTATGTAAGAAGTTAATATATGTTCTGACATTTTTCTATTCATCCTTAAGAATTTGTTTTCTATTATCTGGAGATCTTAGATTTCCAACTTGTATATACAGTTCCTTGCTTCTCAGCCAAAACAACTGATTGGTCGAAAGCATTTCATGTATAATTAGGATTTTATAACGGATGAAATGTCACTGCCATATCTGAGTAGTGGATACAGCACTGAAATTGCAGAAAAGATCAAGGTAAAGCTATCAGTGTAACAGGACGTTAAGGCCCATAGGATTGTGAGACGTCGAGGCTCCCACATTTTCTAGACAATCGGCTCACAGATAGCGGTGAAGTTGTCAGCCTTATGCGCCTGCCGCCCATTACTCCCCAGGAAGATTCCTGCTACTCTTTCCTGTTAGAGGCTGAGTCTACCCGCGACCTTCCGGCTTGTAGCATAGTGCCTCAACCAACTATGCTACCACGTGCCGCCTTAATATACAGTATTAATAATATCTTGTTGGCTTGGCTGTTCATTCTAGAAAAGTTTCCGATTAAATATAATTCCTTGACCGAGGAATGAGTGGTTGAATAATCCTAAATCAGATAGACGCCTTGTCTAGACTAATGGAGATTCTCCATTTTGAAAACCGCTGCTGCAGAAATGATGTGTTTCTCTCAAGCTTCTGTATGGTGAATGGGAGGAGGCAATGTCTGGCCAGGAGTTGCGGTGCCATCGGCAAACAAACTAAGCGCATTGCCTGGTCAATCGGGTACGTCATACATAAAACAACGAAGGGCTTAGAACGAATCAACGAAAGACGACATATAAACTAAGGTGTGTTGATGAATTTTCAGTGTTTTTGATATGTAAACTGTACAATGTTTTTAGATACGAAGCCAGAAGATACCGATCACGGTGGGTGCGGTCTAAGGTATGATTTATGTTCCCAAAAATTTTGAAAACATTCCGTGGCTTGTAGTCCGCAAGCGAACTATACCGACAGAGCTACCACCGCTTGTCGGCGAAGTCAGTGCCAACTCTAGCGTATAGAGAGTGTCACGTGATCAGCGCAACGGATCCCCACGGCCGTTAATCTCGGTTTCCTAGACCGGAGCCGCTATTTTCTTGAAATAGCTCCTCAGTTATCTTTACGAGGCTGAGCGGACCCCGTTCCACACCCACTATTTCTCAGAAAATGTGGTACCGCCGAGAATCGAACCCGGGACCTCTTGATCTTTAGCCAGGAACTCTGGCCATTAGACCACAGAACCATACGAAACACAGAAATAAAGCCAGTAGGATAAATACAGAGTCTCTCTGTAAATGTAAAGCAGGCGGAGCATATAGTAACCATTCTGCTTTAAGGGATCAGAACGCTGATTCCTCGCTCTCGGATTTTCTACCCTGAAGATGTAGGCCATACGTTCCTCCGAAACGTCGGTTCACACAAGATCTACACGGCGTCACATCCCAGAAGACGGCATTCTTCATAGTCACCGCCGTGAAAACCTCAAATCTACACTGTTTATTCCTCTCGCATAAGGAGCCGTGTTAGAGACATGTTTGCAGATGGCGTTGGAGGAAACAACTAACAAGTACATGTACACTTACACAAGTACACGTAGATCGCTGTGTCGGCGGTAGCAACAGAAAACGCTTTTCGACTGTTCTTTTAGAATTGCTGTGCTAATTGTAATTACTATGCATTACAGTATTTAAAGTGCAACGTTAATTTGGTTCCTTCCGTATAGCTAAATGACATGAATTTTGAAGGTTAAACGGTACATCCGAAGGTGGTCAACGACACAGTTTCCTTGAGTGCAGTTTGTCGTATTTCAACATGAATGGTTATTGCTGAGGAAATCCATACAGTTCTTACTTCATGAATATGTGAAAAATTCATTCTCTTAAATATGTTATGCTGGGAATTTCAAAGATTTAAACCAACTCCAGCGAGGTGAATCTTGAAAGAGGCAAGTCAACATTTACGTTAGAATTTCCTTATTCATTCTTTTTTTCGAAAGGAATGGTTTCATATCTTAGTTTTCCTTCTTTCTTGTTTCACTTTCCTTAATTTTTTTTTTCATTTTCTACTTTCTTTCCTTTCCTTTATTTCTTCAAGCTATATATATCCACACATAAAATCCTCTGCGGGTGAAGCCCAAACATCGAGAAAATGATTTCGACCTATAACGCGCTGTATCAACCGAACTTACACAGAGTCATCTTCGGTCTACAAGACGTAACCTGTAGCACAAGTATGTGACACAGATCTAGGATCCGGTTCCTGTCAAGGTAGTGCCGTGTTTTCCCAAGACCAGTCAAATATAACGGTATTAATCTACGTCGGCTTGCGTAAAAAAGGAACATCAAAGTACCACAACGTACGGCTTGTTTTCACTTAGTTGTAATTCAGCACGAGAGATGGCGTACCCGTAGCCAGACAGGAATGCCGTCGTAACGGTACGCGCGGCAGCAAAAAGCGCGCGCTGGAATTCGGATCATTATGGGTTCAGTCTGTCAACAATGGCAACGCTACGATATTCACGTACTCCAGCGATTATCAGTGGTAACCGTGTTTTCTTGACCTTCAAATCCAATAAACATTCCCCACCGCGTATGACGTGTATGCCAACAGGTGATTACTAATATATTGTCACGCACGAGGGGCTTGCGTGACTAATAATAACGGGTTCTGGATTCGATGATTGGATTTATTGACACTTCCATTACAAACATAACCAATGACAACAGTTCACAATCAATCTTCTTCCTTCACCGCCGAGGTCTCTCTTCATTTTGCTTCTTATTCTACGACTGACTGCAAACGACCTTCGTTGTCCCCTAGGCATGGACCACGCACAGAAAACACATTGAGAACACCGTAACCACGGAAAAAAGTGTTTGCGTCGCCAAGCAACGGATATCCTCTATTGTTGACCAGGCGTGTTCACTGATACATTGCCTGGCAACGGACGCCCTCTTGTTGTAACGCGATTAAGCTAGGTGTTTACCGGGTCGTTGCCTAGCAATGGATATAAGTCACAATATCATTAGGATTGGTTTTATAACAGTATACAGTGGCGCACCCAGAATATTCCAGTGGTTAGGGGTCCCGAATTAACGAAAGCCGAATCCAGAATATTCCCATCCCAGGGGTTCTACCGACTGTTTACGAGATTGAGAACACGAAGGGAAGCAAAGCGTTCCACAGAGAGGAACAGGAAATGTGAACGAAAGAATGAACTAGAATAACAGAATACATGTTTTTGACACACGAAAAGCATACGCTATAAGTGGCTACTGCAGCTGCTGGTGTAGAAACAAACGCAGAACATCTTTAAGTCGCATAATCAAATTACAAGTGGAAAATACAAATACCGTACCTTACAAAACCTCGAAAATAAGTC